ACTCCTCTGCTCCCCCTCGCCAAGCATGAACAAGGAGTGATCGGCCGTTGAGGGAGTGAAGCCGATCCCCTCCAACACTTCGCGCAGCTTCATGTACCATTGCCTAGGGGCCTGCTTCAGCCCATAGAGGGCCTTCTTCAGCTTCCACACTCTGCCACTACCATCATCAAACCCCTCTGGCTGCGCCATAAAAATCTCCTCCTCAAGGATGCCGTTAAGGAATGCCGTTACGATGTCCATTTGCTTTACTACCCATCTTTTGATGGCGGCTCCCGCGAATAGGGTTCGCAGCGTCGTCGGCTTCACCACAGGGGAAAACAGCTCCTTGAAGTCCACCTTCTCCTTCTGCTGGTACCCCTTGGCTACAAGCCTAGACTTGTAGCGCTCGATCTTGCCGTCGGCATCCGACTTGATTTTGAAGAGCCACTTGGACGTTATCGCCGTACGCCCCTCCGGTAGCTCCACCAATTCAAACGTGTCATTCTCCTCGATGCTCTTCAGCTCACTCTCCATGGCCTTCTTCCACTCCTCAGCATCACTACTCTCCAAAGCCTCCTTGAGAGTTGCTGGTTCTCCCGGCATCTCCACCGGAGAGAAGAACGCGAAGGCACACTCCTCGTAGTCACTCTCCTCGTCGTCTCCGACCATCATTGCCGCTCCGGCCAGGGCTGTCTTGCCCTGCTTTCCCGGCGCATCATAGGTCAGCCTATTAGGGGGTTGAACTCTCCTCTTCCCCCTTCCTTCCTCCTCAGCTGCAGGGACTTGAAGGCCTTGGCGTTGCTGCGGTGTGGCTCGAATCCGTGGAGCACTCGTAGTACGGGAAGGGAGTGACGGTGCACGCTCGCTCACTTGCTGCACCTCCTCCTCTTCTTCCTCTGCATCATTGGCCTCCTCTCCCCCATTCACAAGGGAGGATTGCCTTGTGGTTGTGCTGCCGCTGCTCAGCTCCAAAGGCAGCTCCACATGCTCCAAACCGGAACTCTTCACCTCCCCAAACCGCACGCCTATCTTCGCCTCATTCTCCGCCTTCCAATCCTTGTACATGAAGTTCTCCATGAACTTGCAGTCCCTGCTCACCAAGAACTTCTTGGTGAATGGGTCCCAAAGAAGCCATCCCTTGCTGTTTTGAGCCATGCCCAAGTGCACGGCCCACACCGCCTTGGCACCAAGCTTGTTGTGCCGAAGATGCTTAGGCACGAGCGCCATGCACATGCACCCGAACACCCGAAGCATATCCACCTTTGGCTTCCTTCCTAGCCACTCCACATAGGGCACCCATTTGTCTGCTCCCACACGAGTCAAGGCTCTGTTCTTGGCCACACACGCGCTCCGCACCGCATCAGGCCAGAAATAGTCGGGTAGCCCGGCTTCAATGAGCAACCCGCGTGCCGCCTCCGTGATTGTGCGGTTCGCTCGCTCGGCGATGCCGTTCATTGCAGGGGAGTATGGCATGGTGAGGGAGTGCCGAATACCATTCTTCTTCAGCCACAACCCAAACTCCTTGCTCAGGAACTCTCCCCCTCGATCGGTGCAGATTGACTTGACTAGACGGTCTTGTTGCCGCTCCACCATCGGGAACCAATCCGTCTTCAACGTTTCAGCCACGTCGCTCTTCTTGGCCAGCACGTACACCCAAGTCATGCGGGTGTAGACGTCGACAATGGTGAGAAAATACTCAGCTCCAGCAGCTCCAAGCTTCAGGGGGCCCACCACGTCCATCACCACCTCATCAAGCGGTGCCTTTGCCGTTGCCTCCGAACTAGGGAACGGAAACCGGGTGAACTTGGCTTGAATGCACGTCGGGCAGCCAAGCACCTCATCAGGCTCCCCCTTCACACGTATGCCAGCAACCATCTCATTCTTCACTAGCTGCTGCAAGATGGGCAGGGCCACATGCCCCATGCGCCGATGCAAGGTGAGCCAATCACACTCCCCCGTAGCCGAAGTTGGATTGGAGAATGCCGCGCTCGCAATAGCGCCCCACATACTCTCTCCGTAGTCCTCCTCCGCTGCTGCCTCTGGGTTCTCCTCACCCTTTTGCTGCTCCTTGGTTGCTGCACCACTCTCCTTAGGTTCACTGAACTTGCTGGTCCCTCCAGGTTTGCTCTTCTTGAGCTCATTCTCCTTAGCGCGACCGTTCGCGCCATCGTCGCTACCGACCGCTCCATCCTTGGTGCTGATGCTTGCTGCCACTTGCCTCTCCTTAGGCATAGGGACCACTGGGATCTGCCACATCTCGTTGTAGACATCCCTGTCCTCATGAAGGTCCCAAAGAATTCGATCGCCAAGCCTTGCGGTGTAGGTCTTGGCTCCCTTCGAGTTCGTGTCCATGCCGGCCTTTGCCAACCGCCGCACGGAAATCAGGTTTGCAGCAAGGCTGGGCACCCAAAGCACGTTCTTGAGGCCCACCATCTTCCCATCAGCACCCTTGAACATGGCCTTGCCCATGCCTTTCACCTCTGCTCGCTGCCCCAAAGCCGATGTGACATGCTTCACCGGTGATGGCTCGAGTTCGGTGAGCAAGTCCGGGCGAGGTGTCATGCTATAGGTAGCGCCACTATCAATCACCCAATAGTCCAGGGGGTGTAGGGTCACCTTCCCCACAGCTGCTGGCTCCTCAAAGCCTTCATCCTTCTCTGGACCAGCCGGTACTTGCGTCGACACGAAGTAGAATAGACCCGGGTATCGATCGTCGCTCGGGTCCTTGTCGTTGTCTCCGCTCTTCATGTTTGCAGCTCCGCCACCGTGACCGCTACGGCCTCCACGGCCTCGTCCTCTCCCTCCTCCTGCTCCTCTACCCTCTTGGCCTTGAGCAGGGGTCCAACCATCAGGGAGTTTGTAGCAGTCGCACCACATGTGTCCGCTCTTGTGGCAATAGTGACACTCGCCGTCGAATCGGCCGCGACCGCGTCCGTAGCTCTTGTCGTCGCTGCCGTAACCGCCACTCCTGCGGCCTCCGCCGAAGTTGCTGCCACCAAACCTTCCTCCCCCTCGTCCTCTGCCTCTTCCTCGACCATATCCACGGCCGATGCTCGCTGCCCCAGCGCCATCTGCACTCGCCAACTCACGGCGGCGGAAATCCTCTTGAAGGATAGCTCGCTTCACGTCTTCAAGCGAGAGGCGGGGCAAGTCGCGATTAAGGTTGATGATGAGCGAGGACCATGATTCTGGGAGTAAGGCCAGCAACTTGGTCTTCTTTTGGAGCTCACTGTAGTTCAAATCAGCTCCCTCAAGCCGCGTCAACAAGTCGAAGAATTTCTGCACCCCTTCTTCAACCGCTTCGTCTTCTTCAATTCGTAGTGCCGCCATTTGCCGTTCCAACACCACCGCTACCGCCGCTGTTGCAGGAGCATGTACACCCTTGAGAGCAGCCCATGCCTTTGGTCCTTTCTCTGGTTCACGCTGGAATGGCTTGATGTGACGGATCTGACTGCTCCCCAACGCTTGCCCAAGTAAGAGATAGCCTTGTGCGCTCTTCCGCACCCACGGGCTCTTCTCCGGGTCGTTCTCGGGGCGCTTCTCCGTTCCTTCCATCACCTCCAGCAGGTCATAGTGGTCAAAGATGTTCTCCATCTTGAAGGACCATTCAGCAAAGTTGTCACCGTTGAACTTGTCAAGCCCAAACACCCTAGGCTCATCCCTAGGTGGGCCAAGACTTGGTTGCATGGGCGCCATGGCTGAATCACGGGGTTGGCCTTGAGCTTGAGCTTCTCCACTGCCACCAGCACCTCTGCCACCCCTTTCCTCAGGTCCAGACATTGTCGAAACTGCTCCAAGGGGCTCTGATACCACTTGTTATAGTAACAATAGGCTTGAATGTGCCTAAAACGAAAGATAGAGAGCACAGACGGATTTCTGCACAGCGGCTTCAAACGTTGATAGCGTTCTGCTCACAGCTGCAAATGACTTGATTCAAGTTGGATCTGGAGCGTCTTCACGTCATCTACAATTATCAATTTAGATTGCACGATTTGATAAAGAATTGACGACACAGCGTCGGTTTGAACGAACGGTACTATGGCAGCCACTATAGTCTTAGAACACAAGATAGGAAGAGTTACGAGTTGGGAATGACTCCCAGCTCCTACAAACCCCAAGAGCCGAGGTACAGTAATGTGGAACAGTGCCACACTGTCCCCAACCACGAAAGGTCTCGAAACTACCCTTCACTAGGGCCTACACCAAGTGAAATGTTACACTACACAAAGTAATGTAACTATCTTCAATATCTTCAGGTGTACCCTTTTGGCAAGCTTCGAAATCACTTGAGGCTTGACACCAAGGCTCGGGCTCTTCATCACAGACTCATCCTTGAGTTCTCGATGGGTCTGCTGCACACACCTGCGACACGCCGAACGTTCGACACAGGACAAAATAGAAACCGCGCACGACAAAATAGAAACCGCGCGCGAGACACAAACGACCGCGTAACACGCGTCTAGCGATAACTCGCTATTGAGTCGACACACACACACGACATCATGACTCAACATTCACACACAATTATAAGCATGAAATATATATTATCCCATGCCCTCATACCATTCCATACACACACACATGCACGCACACGGACAACAAGCCGAGTGCAAACCGTAGGGTTGCACCAACAACAGCTGCAGCCACCTGAAAAGCAAGGTAAGAGAAGCAGCTGGAGGAGTTACCATTGATCTCATGAGCGCGCAAAATAGGCAGATTCCAGTTCCCAATATTGTTCTGGCTCTCCTTAACATAATCATCATGGAAGCACGACATGTGCATGCCGTTGCAGAAATCGCAGACCAGCGCAGGGAATGATACCAGCAGGTCAATCCCGTGAACTTTGTCAGTGACCTTATGCCACCATTTATACTTATCCCCCTGATGCCTGAGAACCAAGCCCTTTATCTTGTCAGTATCCGACCCCGACAAAGGATCAAGCACGTGGTGAAAAGCCAAACCGTCACGGAACGCCGTACGACCTCGCTTCAGCAGCATCGCCGAAACCATGTTCTTCTTAATCATCGCTGGTGAGATGACCGCAGGCACACCCTTGAGCAGCACCTCAATCGCCAGTGCGCTGCACGCTCCTTAAGGTACTCCTTGTTCTCCGGATGCTGCCAGCCGAGCGTCAACTTCTTTTCATTCGCCGTGTAGTGTTCGATCTCTCTGCTCCTCATGAAAGCTGCATCCGCCTCCAGCAAGAAGACTACTTCGATACGGCCGAAGTGCTGCTTGGAGAGAAACGTTGCAGGGAGTTGCTGACACCTTGTTGTCGCCTTTACGTTCTCCGACATGTGCTTTCCCCACAAAAGCAGCAGGTGGTTGACAGTGTTGAAGATACGCAGAATCTCCTTGCTCCAGTTGAAGGGAACCAACAGTGTGATGGCAACACCAGCCTGCGCAGCGATCTCGTTGAGCGTCACCGGGTCTTGACACTCGTCAGGGTCGTCGCTAAGGTAGCCGTCGTCATCTTCCGCGTCTTGCTCCTTAGCTTTGCCGCGGTCCTGAGCATTAGGGCCTGACGGAGCAGCAGTCCCCGCCATGTCACTGATGCTCGTTTTGTTGACTGCAGGCAGATCATTGATACGCAGCGCCGACGTCCTCGCCGTCAAATCCTTAATCACACTCCCACCCTGTGATGACGACGCTCCATTGAACAAAGTCTTCGGAGTGACCGGCTCAGGACGAACATCCGCAGGCTTCTTCCCGTGGGGACCGGCAGCCAGAGCATCAGCAGCAGAAGAAACCTCCGGCAGAGCCATGGTGCAATGATGAAACGAGGCTGAAGACAGAGCTCCAGTAGCAGGTTGAAAGCCAGAACTGAGCACCTATCGACGCCCATTGACTCCCATCGATGCCCATTGACTCCTATCAACGCCCATTGACTCCCATCGACGCCCATTGACTCCTATCAACGCCCATTCACTCCCATCGACGCCCATTGACTCCTATCAACGCCCATTGACTCCCATCGACGCCCATTGACTCCTATCAACGCCCATTGACTCCTATCAACGCCCATTGACTCCCATCAACGCCCATTGACCCCTGTTGACTCAAATTGACTCACCTTGACCACGTTGAGGTGCCCCTCAGCAGCAGCCACGTGCAGCGCGGTGCGGCCGTCGTAGTCAGCGGAGTTGGGGTCGGCGCCAAACTCCAGCAGCCGCGCCAGCTGGTGCGAGTTGGACGAGGTGGCCAGGCGGCACAGATGCGTGCCCTGGTTGCGCAGATGCAGCTCGCCACCATTGCTGGAGAGGGGGGGAGGGGGGGAGGGAGAGAGGAGAGGGGAGGAGAAGGGGGGAAAGGGACGGGGGAAGAGCGGGTAAGAGAGGGGGAGCATACAGTGGGGATGAGTGGGAATGTTGTGTGCGAGCATTGGCAAATGTGCCAGCTGGCACGAGCTGGATGAGCTGGCCAGGCACCACAGATGCGTGCCCTGGTTGCGCAGATGCAGCTCACCGCCGTTGCTGGGATGGGGGGGGAGGGAAGAGGTTTGCGAGCTTTGGCAGCTGGGCTGGTCGGTGGGGCTGCTCGGTGGGGCTGGTCGGTGGGGCTGGTCACGCGGCATAACTTCTGGGATGCCTCAGAAAGGGCTGGGTGGGCCGTGCCAGAGAGCTCTTTCCTGGCTGGCTGCACGGTGGAGGTCGGCTGTGTTACTGGACGGAAACTAGAAGGCAAAGAAGGAGGAGGAGGGGAGGGTGCTAGAATATACTTATACGTGCATGCTCTAGTTTTGTGTGTAGTGCAGGTAAACACCCTAATTGGGGTGAACCCAAATATCCTAGCTTAGACTTGGTTCTAACCTTGTTGGCCAAGTGGGGGTGTCAAACCATCATTGTCCCATGTGATGGGGCAACCAACTTTGGTTGGTTGGCCACCACCCCACTATGGTTGGTTGGTTGGATGGTCCTTCCTCCCACTAGGCTACGTGGTCTTGGTGTCTTATGTGCTAGGTTTGGTCTTCTTCTCCAACGTTCCCTTCCTTGTATAACCTTGTGCTCTCTTGAGCTAATCTCAATGATTCTGCTTCTCGACGTCCTAGACTTCCTAGACTTCCTTCCTTCTTCTTTTCAGAGGGGAGGAGCTTGCCCCATCAACTCCTGCGACGTCTAAAGGAGCTGGCTGGGCTGGGATGGGGGGTGGAGAAGAATGTTTCTCTGGATCCATGTTGGAGCTCATGTGTGAACCTTGGTGAGGGAGACTGGACGGGGGGAGAGGAGATAAGAGAATGCGAGTGGAGTGAAAGGAGTGTGAAGCAGCCCAAGCAGCTGGTGGGAAGTGACATGCATTGACATCCCTTCCAATGCAAGGGATTGATAAGTCCTCACAAGCCAGAGCGTTGAGTGCCTTGAGTGCGCATGAGTGCACCGATGGGGCTCACCTGCAGGACTGGAAGGGGGGAAGAGACGGGGAGTGAAAGGTGCGCCGGGTGGTTGCGGTGATGGTGGAGCAGGCGAGATGGCACGTGTGCTTCCGGTGATTGCACGGCTGGGCCATTCCCTGGTGGCTGGGATGAGATGTGGGGGGTAGGGGAACGATGAAGAGGGGAGGAAGGTGACATTTGGAGAGAGAAGGGGAGTCGCGAAAGATAGGAGGGGGAGAAGTAGTGGAGTGCAAAAGAAGTGAAGGAGTGCCAGCACGTGAGGAGCAAGGAGGGCACAGTACACATGGCACTGCAGAGCAGAGCAGGTGCCAGGGCGTGCTGAACTTCTGCATTCCGAGGAGCCTGGCAGAGCAGAGGCAGAGCAGTGGCAGAGAGCGCTGACCTGCGGAGGATCTGAGCGGTGCTCCAGTGGCCGGCAGCAACGGCCTCCTGCAGGGGGGTGCGCCAGAAGGCATCCTTGGCGTTCACCTGCGCGCCGTGCGCCAGCAGGAACGCCACCACCTTGTCCTGCCTTGTCACTGCTGCTAGGTGCTGCCCATGGAAGGGGGGAAATGGGGGAGGACATGATGTGGAGAAAGGAGGTCAGTTCAGGAGGACCCTTGTCCTGCCCTGTCACCGCCGCTAGGTGCTGGTCGAGGGGGGTGGGGGAACAGAGGAGAGGGAAACGGGGGGGAGAGAGAGGGGAAATGGTGTGGGGGAAGGAGGTTACACGGCACCACCTTGTCCTGCCCTGTCACTGCCGCCAGGTGCTGCCCATGGAAGGGGATGAGGGGAGAGCGGGGAAGGTGGAGGAGGACATGGCGTGGTGTGGTGTGGTGGGGAAAGGAGGTCAAAGGGCGTTCTTGGCTGAATCAACTTAATTAGCCAGTGCAACAACTCCCTGCTCTCACCTCATCTCACACTCATTCATCTCACCATGGGCGTGCGACCATCTCACCATGGGCGTGCGACCATCGTAGTCAGCAGCCGCCACATCAAAGCCGCCAGCAGCGAGGCGGAAGCACTCCAGCATGTCGCCACGCTTGGCCGCGTAGCACAGGTTCATCAGCGTCTCCTGCACCAGCCGGTTGCGGAACGACTGGCGGGTGGGTGGGAGAGGGGAGAGGGCAGCGGGGAGTGGAGGAGGGCGGGGGAGGGGGGATTATGAGGGGGAACTCAAGCATGACACCCTTTCGCCGCGTAGCACAGGTTCATCAGCGTCTCCTGCACTAAGCGGTTGTGGAAGGACTGGCGAGGGGGGAGGAGAAGAGCGGCGGGGAGGAGCGGAGGAGAACTGTAGGATGGGTACGGAGTGGGCAGGAAGAGTGTGGAAGCCAGGGTGAAGGAAGTGAAAAACATCACGACATGGTCTCATTGCTGCACCAACGGAACTGGCTGTAAAGGCTGACAGAGAGGCATGGCAAGGAGAGTGAGGAAGGGTAGGTGACGAAGGTGTAGGTGCGAGACTCCGGTTGGCAAAGGTGTGAGAGAGCGGGTAGAAGAAGAAGATATCAATGCCGTTCAGAACAGGCTGCTCCCGAAGAGAAGGTGAAAATGGATACGTGGGACAGGAGAAAGGAGAATGGGGTAGTGTTCCAGGTGTACACCCCCTGGTTACACCCGCATCTTCCCCCTGCCATACTGCCATGCTGCCATGCTGTCATGCAGCTCCCGCCCACCACCTCACCTCGACCTCGTTCTTGAGCAGCAGAGACAGCTCCGCCATGGTGCTGTTGCCGGGGTAGAAGCGGGCCGTCGCCTCCGCCCTGCTGCGCGCCCTGCACAAGTCATGAATGCGGAGGAGATGGAGGGTCGACGGCAGGGGGGGTTATGTAACGTAAGTTGTGGTGATTGTACACAACTGAGGGGTAAAGGCATGCTGTCGCCTTCGCTTAGCTGCATGCCTTGCGCGGTGAGCAAGAGCGCCAGGAGTGGATGGGGGATGGCACGTGGTGATCACAACAAGGCGTGGCGTGGTGTAGTAGCACACTGTTGCCTCCGCCCTGCTGCGAACCTTGAGAGGAGATGAATGAGGAAGGGTGTGGAGGGTGAGGCGTGGATGGGTACAGAGCACTCACCGGTTGAGCAGGTTGGCGATGGCACGGAGCGGTAGTCGTCTCGTGAGATGGGTACGTGGCGGTCGTCAGCGGGGTGGGTGCGAGCCACGGAGCGGTAGTCGTCTCGTGAGATGGGGAGCACCCGACACACCGACAGCGTGCGCACCGTCCACAGCTCCGTGAGGTCGCACAGGAAGGCGATCTCTGGTGAATCCAGAGAGGGTCGGATGGGGGTAGGGCAGCACATGAGGCTCTAGCATTGGGGATCCAACGTCAAACAGATCAGACAGCGTTCGCACTGTCCACAGCTTTGTCAAGAAAGGATACAGCACAGAAACGGGATCTTTGGAAGTGTGCAGTGCCAGTGGCGGGCAGAGGGAAGGATAGGGGCAACGTATGAGGCCTAAGCCTTGCTTTGATACCACGCTGACAACGTGTCGCACAGTAAGGGGATCCTCTGAGTCGGGTGGGGAGTGGGGTGATTATTGGTTCCTCCAATAATGTTGACTCACTTTGGTCAACAGTATTGGACAACCCCCCAATAATCCTCAACCCAACTTATTGGTGGGGGCCAATAATGTTGGCAAGCATCCCAACCAACCAAGCCCCCCCTCCTTTAGCACAACTATGTATAAAATGAAAGGGGATCCTCTGAGTCGGGTGGGGAGTGGGGTGATACGGCGAGGGTCCACCAAATAGGAAAGGAAAGAGGATAAAGTGAATTAAAAAAAACGCATTGTCCTCACAACTCTCGAAACTGAGTTTGGGTGTCTATCTCTAACTGAAGCTTATAGGATAGATGCAGGTTACAAACCAGGATAATATTCTAACAGTGGAGAGGGTTGAGGAGAGGAAAAGAGCACGTGATGACTCAGTCGGCTTAGAGACGACCCGCCCCAGATCCTCCTTCGCCCTCCCCCCCATTGCACTCCTTTCGCTTGCTCTCACCACGTCCCCAAAAGCTTGGCAAAACTCGTACGCCCCGCACTCACCTCCCTCGCAGTCCCCCTCGTGCAGCACGAACCACTGCATCTCATTGCCATTTTTGCCACGCACTAGCACCTGGGCAAGGGAGAGCAAGAGTGAGGGAGTGAGGGAGGGAGGGTGAAAGAATGTGAGAGTGGAAAAGAACCAGAGAGCCAGGAAAAATGCGAGGTTGTGAGGAGAGTGAAGTCTGCATCGCGTTGCTGTCCTCCTTTCCTCCTGTCCCCGTGTCCTCCTGTCCCCATGTCCTCCTGTCCTCCTGTCACCATGTCCTCCTGTCCTCCTGACCTCCTGCCCTAGTGCCCTCCTGTCCTGCACCTGAGTTACTTCATCAACACACCTTGCTGTGCCCACACCTCGCTGTGTACACACCTCGCTGTGTCCACACCTCGCTGTGCCCACACCTCGCTGTGCCGGCACGAAGCCATGAAGCGCTCACCTGCGCGTGCCCCGAGGCAATGATGAGCAGCTCCGTGGTGCTGTTGCCGGCTGCCACCAGGTCCACGTGTGGCAGGAAGAAATCCACATTGGCCCGCGTTGCCACTTGGTCCTGCACGCACACACACACGTTCATGCCCGCATGGGGGGATGCAGGGATGCAGGCGAGGGGTGCAGAGCAGTGCAGTGGTAGGGGCCATAAGGGATATGAGAGTGGTTGGGAGTAAGAGAATGCAATGAGGTGGAGAAAAGCGGATTTGGTGTAGTGCTGGCATTATGAAGGACACAAGGGTGACACAGATGGATGGTATAGGGAGACAGGGAGTGTCAGATGGGTGGGGTGAGTTGTATGGGCGCTTGGTATGGGAGGGTGGCAGCATGGGAGGGCGGCCGCATGGGAGGGCGGCAGCATGGTAGGGCCCTCACTCACGCGGAAGATGTTAGAGGTGCCGGCAAAGAGGTAGGAGGAGTTGACGAAGCAAGTGGGAGGGGCACATGCAAGGGGAGAGGTCAGTGGTGGAGTGAGCACAAGGTAAGGCGGGAGACTCACTCGGAAGAGGTTGGAGGTGCCGGCAAAGAGGTAGGAGGAGTTGACGAAGCAAGTGGGAGGGGCACATGCAAGGGGAGAGGTCAGGGGTGGAGTGAGCACAAGGTAAGGCGGGGGACTCACTCGGAAGAGGTTGGAGGTCACGGCAAAGAGGTAGGAGGAGTTGATGAAGCGCGAGTACACGTGGCGCTTCACCAGCGTGCGCACGGATGATGGGCAGTGCAACAACACATCGTCCCTCACCTGCATGCATGCACACTCACACATGAGCACATATGCATGCACACACGCATGCACACACGGGCACATGCAGACATGGATGCATGGATGATGGGCAGTGCAACAACACATCGTCCCTCACCTGCATGCATGCACATGCACACGTAAAGACGGCACACAGAAGCACGTACGCACATACCATGCCAAATGATTGGCACAAGCCCCACTCACTCACCTCTCTCTAAGCATCACCCAAGCCACAGCACTCCTCTCACCTCTGCGGCATCAAAGTGCAGCTTGAGGTGCAACTGCACCTGCTAAAATTTTCAAAGTCCACAACACACCACCCTACTCACCTCTGCACCCACTCACTCACCCCACAGAAGCCCCGTACATTTTCTATCACCTCAGCAGTGTCGAAGTGCAGCTTGAGGTGCGCCTGCACCTGCTCCTGCAGCCGGCACCACATGCGCCTTCATGTACCTGGAGGGGAGAGGGTGAGGGGGGAAGAGGGGGTGGGTGGGTTTGGTGTAGTGTGCAGGAGCACATGGTAGGATGAAGGAGTGGGATTAAGAAGTGGGACGACTAAATGGATGCAGCAGATGGGCGGAGCTGACTGCACCACATGGGGTTGGTTGTGTTACAAGATACAGTGCAATAGGCCAATAAGGTTTCTCACATTCTGCACATGCTACTTGGGTTGGGAGCTGTACAACTATAGGGTTACAACTAACTCCCATGCGGCTCTTTTCGTCGAATGCCACACCCTTTGGTCACACAATAATTGGAGGGCCCTGTTAGAGGAAATGATGTCATGAGCGAGAAAATGCCGACGCTGAGATTTGAACCCTGGACCTTTTATGTGCCATAAAAGTGTCTCGGGACAGATTTATGACATCTTCTGCAAGTGCACAGTCTATGGTGCACGCGAGATTCGAAACGGAGACCTTTTGATCTAAACTGTCCCAAATGCGAGCTTTCGGGACTGTTGCAGAGACCAATCAAATGTTATGTTTGAATTGAAACTTTGCAGCAAAGTGTCAACAATATTCACACGGAAGTTGCATTTTGTTGGTCAGCAGAAATTTTGTCGCAAAATTCGCTCTGCGGAATTCAAGGTTCCGAATTTCTTGTCGACAAAAGCCAACCTCGGAAATTGTCCCATCCCAAGCCACAGTGACTTTGTGCTATGGGGGGGGGGGGGTGAGGGGGTGATGGGACTGAAGCAGGAGAGAAGTGATGGGAGCGGAGCAGGAAAGCGAAAACCTGCAAGAGCCAATCGGATGCGCTCAGATGCGCTCGGGCACTGTGAAGGGTGACAAGCCGCTACAGCCTGCAGTGGAAGTTGATGGGCTGCGTGTTTATTCTGATCTGAGCAAGTGGATGCGTTGCGCAAGTGGATGCGTTGAGCAAGTGGATGCGTTGAGCAAGTGGATGCGTTGAGCACGTGGATGCGTTGAGCACGTGGATGCAATAAGGAAGTGAACGATTTAAGAAAGTGGATGGATGCACTAAGGAAGTGGGCGCGATTGAGAGTGCTGTTGACAGCACAGGGTGGGCTGGAATGAGCAGCTCATGAGTTGAGAAGTGAGGAGGGAGCGAACTGGTGGATGAGTGGAGGTCTCTCACGTGCTCTCATATTCTCCCATGTGCTCTCATATGCTCTCATGTGCTCCCATGTGGTCTCATGTGACCTCATGTGCTCCCACCTGCTCTAATGTGCTCGCATGTGCTCTCATGTGCTCCCACATGCTCTCATATGCTCTCATGTGCTCTCATGTGCTCTCATGTGCACTCATGTGCTCCCATGTGCTCCCATGTGCTCCCATGTGCTCCCATGTGCTCCCATGTGCTCCCATGTGCTCCCATGTGCTCTCACGTTTTCCCACGTGCTTTCATGTGCTCTCATGTGCTCCCATGCACTCCCATGCGCTCCCATGCGCTCTCATGCGCTCCCATGCAATCACTTGCACTGTGGTGCAGTACCTGTGCTGCAGTACCTGTGGTGCAGTACCTGTGCTGCAGTACCTGTGCTGCAGTACCTGTGCTGCAGTACCTGTGGTGCAGTACCTGTGGTAGACAGGGTGGTCATCGCCCTGGCAGGCAGAGCAGTAAGCACCAGCAGGGCGTGGCAGAGGACGGCAAGGGGCACGGGAGGCGCACACGGAAAGACACGACGGATGAGACAGATGGAGATAGTGACGCATGATCACATATGAGTGGCACACTGTCGCAAGTATGGACGAGAAAAACGTAGCACACCATGGCAAGCGATCACATGAGTGGTTTACTGTCCCAAGCAGTATTACGCAGATTGAGAATCGATGGAATACTCACAACGGACAAGCAACAGGTTCTCAGTACAATGGTTTATGTCAGCAAGTTGGAGTGAGAAGGTGAGAAGGGCAGTTGACAAGGCAAAGGTGAGATGGCACTGCCATGTTCGTGTTCGCCCTTTGCTCCTGCCATCATGGCAGGCATGGTAGCACGCACCAGTAGATGGAGGTGACATAGGCGTCGAGCGGAGGGCGCAGAGGCAGGTCGGGCTCATGGGGATGGGATGGGGAACGTGGTCATGGGGAGCGGGAGGAAAAGGAATAAGGCGGAGGACAAGGAGGCAAGTGACAGGATGTTGAAGCGGAAGGAAGGGACAGAGGGGGAATGTGAGGGAGAGGGGGGGGTTTCGGGTTTAGGGTTGAGGGGGGAGGGGGGGAGGGGGGTGAACAGGGATCAGGGGATGAGGAAGAGCAACGGAGTGGTGGCATCAAACAGCCGAGCAGGCAGAGGAGCGTCGCATGCAGCCCAGCACACAGCCCAGATAGGCAGCCCAGATAGGCAGCCCAGCAAACAGCTCACCGTGTCCTCGCTGAAGTTGCGCACGCGCGAGAGGAGGAAGAAGACACAGGCGGACCAGTGGGCAGCGAAGAGGATGAGGAGAGTGGGATAAGTTGTCAGAGAGTGGAAGAAGATGTGAGAGGGTAAGAGAAGGTGTTTTGTTCGGTGTGGCACTGACAGGCGGATGAGGCGCAGCAGTCGCAGCAGGCCAAAGGCGTAGGGGGCGACAGCAGTAGTCCCATGGCAGCGCTGCTAGGATATCGTATCAGAACATGCCTCGTAGGTACCTGGGGAAGGAGGAGGCGAAGGGGGGGGAGGCGGGGTGAGGGAGGAAAGGGGGAACGGAGAGTGGAGTGAGAATTCGTGCATGAGCACGTCACATAGACACCTGTGGTGGGAGGGGAGGCAAAGAGAGGAAAGGCAGGAAGGGCGAGAGAGAAAAGTAGTCGAAACTGAAAGGAGGGGGGGTGGGAGGAGAGAGAGCGTGGGAGGAGAGAGCGTGGAAGGGGTGATAAAAAGTGAACGATTGCACTCAGACAGTGGCGCATGTGAGTGGCAGTGCGGGTGTGAAAGTGGCACTTAGCAAAGAGAGCGAGATGCTTACTCGACGGCAATGCTGGCGAGGCTGGTCTTCCACTCGCCCATGCGGAACTCGGGCACGAAGAAGGACAGCAGCACGTCACTCAGAAACACCTGCGGGGGAGCGGGGCGAGGCACATGAGAAGAGCATGTCTCTCAGAAAACAAACACCTGTTGCGGCATGGGGCGAGGGGGAGCGAAGGGGGGAAACAGATAGAGCCGTTGACAAGAATGGGCGCGTTTCATGTGTTGTGGACGTGCAGCATCGAACGGCCTCTTGCCCCAGAAATCGCCTCAAAGAAGAGCCTCAGTCCACTCTTTCAATGAAAACCGCCCTGCCTGCCCTGCTGCCCTGACGCCCCAAACTGAGCACTCACGGCGTCGGTGCAATAGATGAAGACGTTGACTGGCGTGAGCACGTTCTCTGTATCGAGGAACGCGACGTTGAAGGGCTCGATGAAGCCGATGAGGATGGCCAGCAGCAGCAGCGCCGCCTGGAACTGCTGGTACAGCGATGCCTGCGGGTTGATCACCCAGTCCCACAGATACACCGAATCTGGACCGCCCTCGCCCCCCTCGCCCTCCCCTGCTGCCTCGCTTGATGGCGGCATCTCTGAGATGGCCTGAGGGCGGGATGGGATGCGGTCGAGCGGGGTGGGATGGAATGGGATGGGATGCGATGGGATGGGATGGGATGGGATGGGATGGGATGGGATGAGATGAGATGGGATGGGATGGGAGGGAAGGGGAGGGAAGGGATGGGACGGGGTACGATGAGAGGGGAGGGAGGGATGGGAAAGGATGGGAAGGGATGGGATGGGATGGGTCAGTGACACAGTGGGGAATGCGGAACAAACAGCGCGGATCCACGGCAAGCAGGCACATTCCAACCAAGCTACACTCACCTCGAACATACTCCCAAGCGCATCCCAACCCAACCAAGCATCACCAGCAACCCAAGCATTTCAAAAGTCCCAGGCAGCTTTGCTCACCTCAAACATACTCCCGCTGTACATATCCCCTCGGTGAAAGCTACTCTCCGGCATGCAGAATGCCCGTCATCGTCTGCCACACCGAACGGACCACCAGAATGGCGGCGCCAATCGCGTCGGCTCCGGAACCTGCCCGCAGGTACCTCCGTAAGTCCCGCACAGCCGCGTCCAGTTGCCCCACAGCCCCAACGCCTCCCCGCACGGGCGCGGCCAACACAGGCGCTAGGAGGAGGGCAATCTGGTCGGCCGCGTCAAGACAATCGTCCCGCGGGCCGTCAAGCAGAGATTCCGCCGGAACAGGCGGACGAGACCCGTGCGCCAGGGACTGCACAAGCAGGAGCGCACGGAGGCTCTCCGAGAGCCTCCACAACTGGCCGAGAGTCGCCTCCGGAACTTCGGCCCGCGGGGGAAGAAGCTCCTCCGCCAGGGAGGGAAGCTGTAGCCGAGGAAGCCCAGCTCCACCACTATGAGCGGGGGCTAAGGGAGCCGGCAGTGACACCGCCGGCGCCGGAGCAACCACGGGGCGAGCGACCGGAAGGGGAGCAGATGGCGTTGGAGCCGCACGCCGCGAGCTGTACTGACTCGCTGGGCCGGCCTGACCGTCGCGAAACGCCTCAGTCACAATCTGTCGCACGTCCGCGATTGTTGCTGGCGCGTCCAGCCACCCGCCACGCCCGCGACCGCGACCTCCCCTCCAACCACCCTGGTGCGCATGCCAGTTCGCCTGCGGCAGCCGCCGGCGAGGGGAATCACGCCGTCGACGAGACACATCTCGCTCATCTCGGGGGGAGGGCGAATGAGGACGGGAGTTACGCTGCTGCACTCCCGGAGGAAGGGCATGGGCAGACGAGGAAGCCGCGGGGAGCGGAGGGGCAGACTTCCCGCCCAGCGCATCTTGGGACGCAGCAGGAGACGCCACGGGTAGCGCCACAGGCGCAGGAGGAGGCGCCTCGCCAGACGCAGGTGCCACCCCAGCAACAGCCGCCGTCTCAGCAGGCGACGGCAACACCGGAACATGAGGCGCGGGAGAGGGAGCCGAGCCTGGAGCAGGAAGATGCGCCACGCCAGCCGCAGGCGCCAGAACGAAGGCAGGTACAGGCGCTGGCGCCATCACGCGCGGTTGGGCGGCCACACCCGCCTACTCTCGTCCAGAGTCGACTACCGTGGAGCACGCGTGAGCAGGAGAACCCGCGACAGACATTGCCGCAACAGGGGCAACCGGCGCCGACCGCACCGACGAGGCAAGCGCAGCTGACGCCATGCCAAACGGCCGCGGCGAATACGGCACCGGGGAACCGCCGCCAACCGCCACAGGCATCACGAGGAGGCAGAGGCGGGCGGCAGCGAGCTGCGGGGCGTGGTCGTGGCCGGGAGAACGGCTTCCAACGGGCGGCGAGGCTAGATTTAACAGAAGCGGATGTCAACAACGTGGCACAGGATGAAGCAGAAGAGGCACAAGACCCCACCTTTATTGCCCAGCCAGCCGCAGTATCAACCACCGAAGGAAGTGGAGGGGATGAAGGTGAAGCTGCACCAGGAGTTGAGAGTCGAGTGAATGTGGCAACAACCCCTCGAGCCGCATCTGCACAAATTGAAATTGGGGGGGAACCAAACCCAGACGCACCCCTCACCACCGCACCATCAACCCGCCAATTTTTGCCAGAGCAGCTGGCGAAGGACATGATCCGCTTCAATGAAATTCGCACCTGGGACCTGACACCACTACGCGACAGCCGTCAGCCCCCCCTTTCCCGCAAAATTCCGCACGAAATCCGCACCAGTTTCGCAAATGCGCTGTTGACACCCCTGCACCTTGCACGCCACCCTGACTCCGTACCGGGTTGGCGCCTGTTACTCTTTATTCCCCGCCTAATCCTTCGCCAGGCGAAACCAGGGAAGCCTGATTGGCCCGCAGTGAAGTTGCGACTTCGTCAGTTTTTCAAGGGCGAGTGGGAACAACTGTACGAGGCAGCTGTGGCAGCGGTCAACTCCCCCCCAGCGCCACGTCACCAGCCGGACGAGTTGGGAAAACGAGCCAGAGCAGAAGGACTTGTTCGAAAGCGCAGCCTTCGGCGGGCCATCCTAGCCCTCGAATCTACACCCGTGGCAGATCCAACGCCGGAGATACTGGATTCACTTAAATCCAAGCACCCACCTACGCCACCTGGACACATTGACTGGACACCAACGGATGAGGCCCACGTGGTGACCATCACCTCAGCTGCATTCGCGAAAATCCTATGCCGCTGCGAAAACGGAGTGGGGGGAGGGCCGTCGGGGATGACGTTCGAACACCTCAGGGATGCAGCTATCGCCAACGCAGCCGTTACCACCCACCTCCACGCCCTCGTCAACACAATACTCCAAGGGAAACTCCCCGAAGAGGTGTGCTCCTTGCTCACATCCTCCCGCCTCATCGCTCTCGCCAAGCCAGAGGGAGGGACTCAGCCTATAGCCGTAGGAGAGTGTGTCCTACGCCTCGCGGCAAAATCGGCACTTTCCTCACTAGCAGAAGCGGCACGAGCCCATTTCCTCCCACTCCAGTACTGCGTCGCCGTCCAGGGAGGTAGCGAGGCGATAATCCACGCCGCCAAGTCATACATGAGCACGCACAGTGATGCCACGATTCTCCAGGCGGATCTCTCAAACGCATTTAATAGCATCAGTCGTGAGGCAATCGTAGCGGGCCTACGTGGAAGTACGCTACAAGGGATCCTCCCCCTAGTCCACTCCTCTTACGGCGCGCCGTCAGAGCTATTTCTCGACGCCGGCTTTAATAGCCCTCACATATCCAGCATTACAGGGGTCCGCCAGGGCGACCCCCTCGGGCCTTTGCTCTTCGCCGCGGGCATCCACCCGTCCCTCGCCGCGACCGCAGCCGCCTTCCCGACCGTGCTCTGCCTCGCATTCGCTGACGATGTCACGTTCCTGGGCAAAGTGGCGGAGTGTACAGCGGCGTTCAACCACTTCACGAGCAGCCTCCGTAGCATGGGGCTCAGGCACAACGCCGGGAAGTGTGCGGCGTGGAGCGCTGTTCGACCACCGGAGGGGGCCTTGCCGAAAGGGGTCCCATTCTGCCACGACGGACTGTGTGTTTTGGGCAGTTTCATCGGCGCGCCAGACGGAGCAGCAGCATTTATTTGGGCTCAGCTGCAAGCCATGACAACCCCACTCCCGCAGATAGCCGACCTGGAACCACAGGCAGCATCACTACTGCTGACGAGGTGCATCTCGAGGCGGATGTCATACCTCGCGCGCACAACCCCACTCACCCTTCTGCCCGAAGAGGAATGGTCACGGTGGGGCCAGAAGCTGCTCCACACACTGCTCGATGCCTGCGGCGTGCGCCACCCAAGGGGGGATGCGGAGGAACAACGCGTGTGGGACCAGGCTTCCCTCCCCCCGAGCCTGGGAGTTCTGGGGCTGGCGGATCCATCGGTGGAAGGGCGCTACAGCTACCTGGCAAGTTTTGTCCAGGCACACGGACTGCTAGCCTCCCTGCCCGGCCCCGCAGGAGCTCACCTCTCCACCGCCCTGAACTGGACAGAGGAGTTGGACCCGGAACCCAACCAACTGCAAACCTGGCTTGGGGAGTGCAAGGCAAGCCTCACACAGGAGGGACGTGACCTGCTGGCGGCAGAAATGGCAGCACCCAAGGGACAGCTGCAGCACCGCCTTGCCCTCTTAGTCCAGGGCGGACGAAGTGCCGCTCAAGTTGCAGCGTCACGGCATATAGAGCTGAACCCCCTATGCGGCCACACCCAGCGGCTATTGTCCCTCACTGGCTACGGTGCGGGGGACTGGCTGATAGCCATCCCCTACATGCCCTCCCTCCGCCTCGATCCTGACCACTTCTCATTCGCCCTCCAGTTCCGCCTAGGACTGCCTCTCCGCGTCCCTGACAACTGCGACTGCACAAAGAGAGTCGCCATAGCAGAAAAGCGCCTCCCCAACCACCTCCTCCGCTGCGGCACAGGGCACGGACGGACCAACACACACAACGAGCTGAGGGATGAGTGTGTGCGTATGGCCCAGGACGCGGGGTTCATAGTGCACAAGGAAAGCACGGCGTTTAGCCCGGTCGACAACAAGAAGGCCGACCTGGCCATTCGGGACAGAAGCAGTGGGGCGGTGTGGCTGGGTGATATAATCATCACCGACCCTATCAGCAAACGGGACGAGACTGCCAGGAAGGGACGGGGATGGGCAGCAAGGGAGGCAGCAGATAAGAAAATCGGGCTATACCACGGCAGGGCTGAATTTGCAGGCTTTTACCCGCTGGCAGTCGAGACCTATGGCTGCCCGTGCGATGAGGTGCAGGCTTTCCTGAAGCACCTGGCGGACAGAGCAGCACGCTTACACTTCAACGCGGACCCCTCAAGCTTCCATGCCGCAAAGTTGCTGCACCAGTTCCGCCAGCGGTGGTCTGTCGCCTTGCAAAGGGCACAGGCAGTGAGCTTCCTTATCAAGATGAACCTGGCAGCCCAGAAGGAGAACCCAGCCTTAGGAGGCCCTGAGGGGGTCCTGGACCCGGGGGAGTGCTTTGCTACCCTAGAACCAGGCAATGGTAGCGAGTAGAAGACTTAGGGGGGGGGGAGGGGAAAGGGATAGGAAGGAGAATAGTTAGACATACCTGTTTGTTGCTTGCTTGCTTGCCTTTGCTGTTTTCTCTTTTCTATATCAATACAAAGGACCGTTCGAGAGAGAGAGAGAGAGAGAGAGAGAGAGAGAGAGAGGACCCTAGCCTCTGCCCTCTCCCTTAGCCCTCTGCCCTCTCCCTTCCTAAGTATAAGAGGCCTCCCTTGGCCTCTTGTCTCTGATTATTCTGTGTGGTGGCAGAATTTTTCGCTCGTTCGTTCGAGAGAGCGAGAGAGAGAGAGAGGACCCTAGCCTCTGCCCTCTCCCTTAGCCCTCTGCCCTCTCCCTTCCTAAGTATAAGAGGCCTCCCTTGGCCTCTTGTCTCTCATTATTCTGTGTGGTGGCAGAATTTTTCGGGCCTACGGCCGCGCGTTTGGGGTGACAAGGGATAAACGAGACAAGACAATATAATCCAAGACATACACGCAATGGCTCCACCTACAGCCGCATAGGACAACAAGCGGCAGCATCAACATGGGGCATGAAGAGGCGGATGCTACATCCGATCCGCCTGCAGGGCATGGAGAATGCCCGTCATCGTCCGCCAATCCGAGCGGACCACCAGTATGGTCGCGCCGATCACATCGGCTCCAGAACCTGCCCGCAAGTACCTCCGCAAGTCCCGCACGGCCGCATCAAGTTGCCCCACAGCCCCAACGCCTCCCCGCACGGGCGCTGCCAACACGGGCGCCAGGAGGAGGGCAAGCTGGTCGGCCGCGTCAAGACAGTCTTCACGTGGGCCTTCAAGAAGGGACTGCGCGGGGACAGGCGGAAGGGACCCGTGCGCCAGCGACTGCACCAGCAGGAGACCCCGTAGGCTCTCTGAGAGCCGCCACAGCTGACCGAGAGTCGCCTCCGGAACCTCAACCCGCGGGGGAAGGAGCTCCGCCGCCAGGGACGGGAGCCGGACGGGAGGAAAGCCAGCTCCAGCACCACGAACCGGGGCGGAGGGAACCGGATGAGGCGCCGCCACCGGCGGAGCAACCGCCAGGCGAGGAACGGGAAGGGGAGCCAATGGCGACGGCGCTGCACGTCGCGAGCTGCTCAGACTCGCCGAACCTGCCTGGCCATCGCGGAATGCCTCGGTCACGATCTGACGCACGTCCGCAATCGTCGCCGGCGCGTCCTGCCACCCGCCACGCCCGCGACCGTGACCTCCCACCCAACCTCCACGGTGCGCGTGCCAGTTCGCCTGCGGGCGCCGCTGGCGGGGGGAATCACGACGGTGCCGAGACCCTGCCCGCTCATCTCGCTGAGAGGGCGAATGTGGGCGTGAGGGACGCTGCTGAGGACCCAGGGGCTGAGCAGGCGCGGACGACAGAGCCACGGGGAGTGGAGGAGCGGACCCACCGTGCGGCGCCGCATGGGACGCAGCGGCAGGAGCAGGAAGCGGCGCCACGCCGGACGCAGGCGCCTCCGCAGCACAATCAGCAGCCGCCGCAGCAGGCGATGGCTCCACCGGAGCGTGGGGAGCAGGAGGGGGCGCCGCGTCAGGATCAGGAAGGGGCGCCACGCCAGCCGCAGGCGCCAGCACGAAGGCCGGGACGGGCACCGGCGCCAGCACGCGCGGGGGGGCGAGGACACCAGCCGACTCTCGTCCAGAGTCGACTACCGTGGAGCTCGCGTGAGCAGGAGATCCCGCGGCCGACATCGCCGCAACAGGAGCCACCGGAGCCGACAGCGCCGGCGATGCAAGCGCAGCAGACGCCACGCCAAAGGGCCGCGGCGAATACGGCACTGGGGATCCGCCACCAACAGCCACAGGCATCGCGAGGTGGCCGAGGCGGGCGACGGAGAGCGGCGGGGAGAGGGCGAGGTCGGGAGAACGGCTTCCAGCGGGTGGCGAGGCTAGCGTTAACAGAGGCGGATGACGCTAACGCAGCTGAGGATGAAGCAGAAGAGGCGCGTGATCCCACCTTTATCGCCCAGCCAGCAGTGGAATCTACCACAGAAGGAAGTGGTGGGAATGAAGGGGACGCTCCCCCAGGAGCTGAGAGTCGAGCAAATGTTGCAACACCTCCACGAGCCGCATCTGCACAAATTAGAATTGGGGGGGAAGCTCACCGCCACGCACCACTCACCACCACACAACCAGCACAACCCCGCCAATTCTCGCCCGAACAGCTGGCGAAGGACACCACACGCTTCGGCGAAATCCAAAACTGGGACCTGACACCCCTTCGCGACTCCCGTCAGCCCCCCCTAAGCCGCAAGATCCCGCACGATATCCGCGCCAGTTTCGCAATGGCGATCCTGACACCGTTGCTACACCTCTCGCGTAACCCTGACTCAGTGCCAGGGTGGCGACTGTTGCTCTTCATCCCCCGCCTGATTCTTCGCCAGGCGAAGCCAGAGAAGCCTGATTGGCCGACGGTGAAGCTGCGACTTCGCCAATTCTTCAAAGGCGAATGGAACCAGCTGTACGAGGCAGCAGTGGCAGCAATCAATACCCCGCCTCCGCCACGTCACCAACCTGACGCCCAGGGCAAGCGGGCCAGAGCTGAAGGCCTTGTTCGTAAAGGCAGCTTACGTAGGGCAATCCTAGCCCTGGAATCTACACCCGTGGCAGATCCAACGCCCGAAACACTCGATTCACTCAAGGCCAAGCACCCCCCCGCGCCACCTGGACACATCGACTGGACACCCCCAGACCAAACCAACGTGCCGACCATCGCCAAAGCGGCCTTCGCGAAGCTCCTGTGTCGCTGCGAAAACGGAGTGGGTGGTGGGCCGTCAGGGATGACCTTTGAACACCTCAGGGATGCGACCATCGTCAACGCAGCTGTTACCACCCATCTCCATGCTCTCGTTAGCACCATTCTCCAAGGGCCACTCCCCGTGGAGGTGTGCTCCTTACTCACTGCATCTCGACTCATCGCCCTCGCTAAGCCGGAAGGGGGTACTCGCCCCATAGCAGTGGGGGAGTGCATCTTACGCCTCGCGGCGAAATCAGCGCTATATGCGCTAGCGGAAGAGGCACGCCACCACTTCCTCCCGTTACAGTACTGTGTCGCCGTCCAGGGGGGTAGCGAGGCGATAATCCACGCCGCCCGTTCGTATATGAGCACGCATAGCAGGGCCACGATTTTACAGGCGGACCTCTCGAACGCTTTCAATAGCATTAGCCGCGAGGCGATAGTGGCGGGCCTACGCAACACCGCGCTGCAAGGGATCCTGCCCCTAGTTCGAATCTCTTACGGCGCGCCGTCCGAGCTTTTTCTCGACGCTGGATTTAATAGCCCTCCGCTAACCAGTGTCACGGGGGTACGTCAAGGCGATCCACTCGGGCCGCTGCTCTTCGCGGCAGGTATTCAACCGTCTCTTGCCGCGACAGCAGCCTCCTTCCCGACCGTCCTCTGCCTCGCATTTGCTGACGACGTCACGTTCTTGGGGGAAGCAGCGGAGTGCACGGCGGCGTTCAACCCCTACGGTGGTCGGGTCTTCACCCCCTGGTTCCATTTGTGCGCACACTCTACGAGAGCCCATCCCGCCTGCTCCTGGACGATGGATTCGCCGCTAACCACATCGAGAGCGCGAGAGGAGTACGGCAAGGGGACCCGCTGGGCCCAACGCTGTTTGCGGCGGCAATCCAACCGGCCCTACTCAAGGCGGCGGATGACTTCCCGTCGGTGGTAGTGATGGCATACGCGGATGACATCACCTTGGTTGGGGACTCGGAGTCGGCGGGAAAGGCGATGATGCTCATCACCACTGAACTACGCGCGTGTGGGCTACGGTGCAACCTGGCAAAATCCTCGGCGTGGAGCCCGGCGGGCACGCCAGACAACTTGCCTGCAGGACTGGTGGCGGCGGTGGACGGCATCAAGGTCCTCGGAAGCCCGATTGGTTCGAGTATTTACGGAAGGAGTTTTGTTAGGGCGGCACTGGAGAAAATAGCTGCGCCCTTAGACCTCATCAGTGGACTGCATCCCCAGCACGCCATGCTCCTCCTCTCTCGCTGCATCTCGAGGAGAGCGTCGTACCTGCTGCGCACGACACCGGCTGACCTCATCTCACTAGCAGAGTGGCGAGACTGGAGCGAGCGACTGCTCCAGACGGTCCTCAGAGCAGCGCAACTGTATTGGCCGGCGGACGAATTGGAACAGAGCCTACTGTGGCGCCAGGCGACTCTACCAGTGGCCCTGGGGGGGCTAGGTCTGATAGACCCCCTCTCGGAAGCCCCAGCGGCGTACCTGGCGTCCCTGACAGCGGCCTACGTGCTCCTGCAGCAGCTACCACTGGCTCCAGACAACCCCATGATTAGGGCAGCACGGCTGGTATCACCAGAGCCAGGGGGACAAGGGGTAAACAGGGAGGATATCCGCGGGGACATGTGGTCCCGCTTACCAGAGGCGGCCAGGGTAGCCTTGCGGGCGTACCTGGAGAGGAATGATGGGAAGGGGCATCTGCAGCTGCTACTGTCACGGCACATTAACACTGAGCGGGCGGCGGAACTGCTTGGGGACACACGGATGGACAAGCCAGGAGCGGGCAATGGCCATGTACTTCGTCTGCTGAGTCTGCAAGGGACGGGAGCGGGGGACTGGCTGCACGCTATACCGACGCGGGCAGACCTCACCTTCTCCCCGGGGCAGTTTGCGCTGGCAATAGTCCTCCGCCTCGGTCTCATACTGGCGGTGACCGACAACTGTCCTTGCCAGGGGAGGAGGGCGAAGATTGGGGACAGAAGCCTTCCGAACCACCTGCTGAGATGCGCGGAAGGGGGGGATCGCACGACAACGCACAATGCGCTGGTATACTCAGCCCTCCGTATGGCGAGGGAGGCGGATTTCCTTACCTTGCACGAATCGGCCATATTCAACCCTATAACCAACCAAAAACGGGCGGACTTGATCATTCGTGACAAGGAATCAGGAGAGACCTCGGTGGTGGACGTGACGGTGACTGACCCTGTGCTGCAACGAAGGGACAAGCGGGTAGTGAAGCCGCCAGGATGGGCCGTGGAGGAGGCGGCGAGAACGAAGCATGGCATGTACACGGGGAGGCCAGGTTGGGTGGGCTGCTTCGGCATGGCGGTAGAGACATACGGGGCCATGGCAAGGGACACCCAGAGGTTCTTCAGGCTCCTGGGCACATCTGGGGCCAAGAAGAAGTTCAGGCAGGGGAGGGCGACAACGGTGGCCTCGAAGCTCACTGCCCACTACCGACAGCGTTGGTCGGTGCTCCTCCAGCGCTGCCAAGCCAATGCCCTGCTCGCCAAGTCGAACAGGGCGGCAGAGGCAGCATGGCCACCAGGCCCCTCAGACCCGTGGGAACCACGGCTGGGGGACCTGTGGCAGGTCCTGGAGGACGGGTTCGTCCAGGACTGGAGCTGGGGCGAGTAGAGGGTGGCAAGGAGAGGTGGTGGAAGGGAGGCACGGGTGGCCTGATTTTGCTAGGCTAGGCTGCTAGAATCGCAAGCGGGGGTAGGAGGGCTTGATGGCTTGTTTAGGACCTTGGCCACGGCTCTGATGCTTGCTAAGATGGCTGCTCGTTTCCTAGGGTTACTTGCTGGCCAGGACTAGTTATCACCATGCATGTACCTGCCTATACATCAATGAAGGACCGCTTGAGAGAGAGAGAGGCACCTTGCCTCTGCCCTCTCCCTTAGCCCTCTGCCCTCTCTGTTCCTTAGTATAAGAGGCCCCTCTTGGCCTCTTGTCTCTCATTATTCAGTGGGGTGGCTGAATTTTTTCGTTCGCGTCGACCGCCTTCGGCGGCCGACGCTCGACAGCGCGGCCTTCGGCCGCGCGCTAGGGACGGCAAGGGAGAAGCAAACAAGTGACTATCGGCAAGACATACAACGGATGACAACAACTACTTCTACCTAAGACAACCATGGATCAAGCCGGGGCGGATGCTACTTCCGATCCGCCTGCAGGGCATGCAGAATGCCCATCATCGTCTGCCACACCGAGCGGACCACCAGAATGGCGGCGCCAATCGCGTCGGCTCCGGAACCTGCCCCCAGGTACCTCCGTAAGTCCCGCACAGCCGCGTCCTGTTGCCCCACAGCCCCAACGCCTCCCCGCACGGGTGCGGCCAACACAGGCGCCAGGATGAGGGCAATCTGGTCGGCCGCGTCAAGACAGTCGTCCCGCGGGCCGTCAAGCAGGGACTCCGCCGGGACGGGCGGAAGAGACCCGTGCGCCAGGGACTGCACAAGCAGGAGCGCACGAAGGCTCTCCGAGAGCCTCCATAACTGTCCGAGCGTCGCCTCCGGAACCTCGGCCCGCGGGGGAAGGAGCTCCTCCGCCAGAGAGGGAAGCTGAAGTCGAGGAAGTCCAGCCCCACCACTGTGAGCAGGGGCCGAGGGAGCCAGCAGTGATACCGCCGGCGTCGGAGCAACCGCAGGGCGAGCAGCGGGAAGGGGAGCCGATGGAGACGGAGCCGCACGCCGCGAGTTGCTCTGACCCGCCGAGCCTGCTAGGCCGTCGCGGAATGCCGCGGTCACAATCTGCTGCACGTCAGCAATCGTCGCCGGCGCATCCTGCCACCCGTCACGCCCGCGACCATGCCCCCCCTCCAGCCACCCCGGTGCGGATTCCAGCTCGTGTGGGGCTGCCGCCGGCGAGGGGAATCACGCCGTCGCCGAGTCACCTCCCTCTCATCCTGTGGGGCGGGCGAATGAGGGCGGGAGTGACGGCGATCAGGCGACTGCGACCAACGCGGCTGAACAGCCGGAGGTTGAGCAGGCGCAGACGAGGGCGCCACGGGGAGCACAGAGGCAGTCTTAGCGCGCCAAGGGAGGCAGCCACAGGAGGAGGCGCCTGAACAGGCGCAGGAGGAGGCGCCTCGCCCAATGCAGGAGCCAACTCAGCAGCACCAGCGGCCGCCGCAGCAGGCGACGCCAACACTGGAACGTGCGGCGCAGGAGATGGCGCCACGTCAGGAGCAGCAGGAGGCGCCACAACGGGCGCAGGTGCCAGGACGAGTGCAGGCACGGGCGTCGGCGGCACCACGCGCGGGGGGGCGGACACTCCCGCCGACCCTCGTCCAGAGTCGACTACCGTGGAGCACGATGCGTGAGCAGGAGAGCCCACGCCAGACATCGCCGCAACGGGGGCCACAGGCGCCGACAGAGCCGGCACGACAGGTGCAGCAGAGGCCACGCCAAATGGCCGCGGCGAATACGGGAGCGGGGAATCGCCACCAAGCGCCACAGGCATCGCGAGGCGGACGAGGGGGCAGACGGGGAAGCGCACCAGGCAGGGGAGGAGGTCCGGAGAACGGTTTCCAGAGAGCAGCAATAGTAGCTTTAAGACGGGCTAATGAAGCTAATGAGGAAGAAACGAGAGACCCTACCTTTGTAGCTGTGCACGAGGCGGGAGAGACGGAGGAGGAGGGAGAAGAATACGTAGAAGAAGCCACAGCCCAACAGGATCGATGGCCCACTCCCCAACGACGCCGATGGTTGTCGTCGTCGGTGTAGTCGTGGCGCGTGCTAAACGGATTGTTGTCCGAAAATGCTCCGATTGGGTGAGGCGCCGGCTCTGATGATAGTGAGCGCGCACGGGGACGACAAGATCCGCTCGTCAATGTCATGTTTCCCATGACGTTGCGGACGGGAGCAGTTGGTGGCTGCTGCTGCTGATGCTGATCGTTGGATTCAGGTTGCGCGGTGGGGGTTGTTGCCCCTGGGCGGGACGCGCGTCATTCCTTGCGTCTTGTCGTCCGGACCAGTTGCTCGGATTGGTCTGACGAGGGCGAGATCAATGCTTGCATCGATCTGCCAGGTGCCCGAAGTTTCTGCAAATTTTGCAGTAAAGGCGCCGCGGCCGTCGCTCTTCCGTGTTGTCGGCGTACAAGGCGAGGCGTTCCCTGTCTCGTCGCGGCGCTGGTCGCTGCTGATCCATATCCCGTTGTTCGACGAGGTGGGAGGCGCAAAGGGCGGCCTCCGAGATTACCCCCTGCTGTCGGAGAAGCGCCTTGCAGGGCCGCCACTCGGGGCCGAGCCCTTGAAGCACAATGTTGACGAAGATCTCCTCGGAGATCGTGCTTCCCAACTTCGCGATCTGATCGCGTAAGCTCCGACAGCGATTCAGGTAGCTGTTGGCCTTCTCTCCAGGTGCCATTTTCGTCTCCAGTAGCTGCTGGAGAAGTCGGCTCGACGACACTGAGTCCTTTGGTTGATACACACCGTTCAGGTGGCGCCAAGCGTTAAGGGCTGGAGCAGGGGAGGTTTTGTATGAGCGGATGCTCAACTGCTCCGTCGGCGACATGTTTGGCAGAAGGACCCCGTACGCCATCAGGGACTAGTTGTAGTACTTGTTTTTTGCGTCGTCGATGTCCTCCATGGGTCCCGAGTAGCTCCCGTCGAAGTAGTGAAAAATCTGCGCGTTTTGCAGCAGCAACTCCAGTTCGAAGCTCCAAGTATAGAAGTCTCTGCCGTCAAAGCACACACTTGTCTTTATTTTTTATATGCTCAAAAACCTTGATTGCGCAGAGAGAATTGCTTCATCGCTTGTCTGGGGTGTTGAGCCATTTGTGTCAAGAGAGAAGCCTTGCGGGGCGGAGTTCTGGCCATTCGAGGCCGGTTGAGTGGGTTGGGAAGATGTTCACGCGTCGCCATTCCGCAATGTTTGGAGCCCTTGCTCCAGACTCGTGAGTCGCTGAAGCAGTTGTGCGAGGACGGTGGAAGGGATTGCCGTCGTTTCCTCGCTTGTCGCAGCCGGGTTGGGCTGCGCTTCAGCCGTCAGATTCGTCTGACCTCCAGATCCTCCGGCCATTCTTACACGTGAGCGTGTGCCGGACGCCACTTTTCGTTCGCCGAGAGTGTCGGAGGTGGCGGTGCGAAGGATCCCTGAGTCTCTCTCATACCATGCTGCAATCAGAAGTTGATCGTAACCAGGATCACCTCAGGAAGGTTCGCACACTACTAGTTTAGTGGTGGTGGGCCCTTTGACCTCAATAGCAGAGTGAATGTAAATGCTTGAGATAATAAAAACATGCAGTACAAGGACTATAAATAAGAGTACAGGGGAATTTGAATCGACCTAGCTAGCCATGTACTCTAAGGGGTACATTCCCTTATTGCATCGAAATCCAACCGTGCGACTCCGGGTGGTTACGAAACCGTTCGGGCAGAATCCTCGCCACTGCTGCTGCCTGATGCTGTCTGCCCGACGGTCCAGATCCTTTCGTAACCGTGCGACCCTTCGTGTCACTTCCGTCCGTTCGTCTTCATTCTCGGTAGTGCGTGCTTCGATTTCTGCGGTGAGGAGTGCACAATAGTGTTTCAATAATCACTATTCGTAACAGTGACGACACGAAATCGACCAATCCGGCGACTTTCGCGAAAGAAATGTCGACCGGATGGTCGACGAAAATCCGGCCAAAAGCAAATTTTGCATGTGTGCGGGGATTTTACACGCCCTTATAACATGCTTGTAAGTTCTTTATTTTGTTATTCCTCATGGTATTTTTTTTTACCATTGATTTTTGTTAATCAGAAAATATTTAGAGAATATAAGTATATTTGTGCTACTAAGCAATATTGTTTTCTAGTGAGTATGTGTATTTGGAGTCCAATCTTATGTGCCACAAACAGCTGAACATCCCAGCGCAAATCGGTCGTCGGGGCCGATTTGCCTGGGTCGTCAGAGGGGGTCGTCGGAGCCGGGGATGACGAGGCGGGCAACTGGCGCGCGTGCGGGCCCGCCAGCCTGGCCCAGGGCTGGGCCGAGCGCACGACCGCCGCCCTGCAACCCCTCCCCGAAAGTGAACAGCGCCCCACGTTACCGCGTGTGGGCGGCGAAGTAGCGACCCCCTCGCGCGAGGGAAAGTTACCCTCGCGCGAAGGCAGCCCTCCCGTCTCCGCTGCTCGCGAAGTCCTAGTGACCCTCGCGACCTGCCCGGACGGGCAAGCGAGGGCCATGCGAAATTTGGATGCTCCCTTCAGGACGCTGGACAATTTCGCGACCTGTTGCAGTGACGCCACGTGTTCGCCCGTAAATTTGCATCGAATGCATGCGACATTTCGTACCCGCCGAAATTCGAGCGACATTAGATCGCTCGCATTGCGGCGCAACATTTTCGCGTCCCGCTGCGAAGTCGACACGTGTCGGCCGAAACGTCGCACCGCGCGCATGCGAATTTGCGCCCCTTGGCCGACCGAGGCCAGGGGACGTGACGTCGACCTGCTGGCTCGGCGGCGAAGTGCACTTGTGCCACGCCACCTGTGCATGAGCCCTGCCGAGCCAGGCACCACGACCCCTTGGGCAATGCTTAACCGGGCCTGCGAGGCTCCGCCTCGCTTTTCTTTGTGGAAGGTGGACTCGCCCCTCATTTTCGCCTTCTCGTTTCTCTTTCATATTTTTTCCCAGCTCTGCGCCTTCCATACTCCCACCCTTTCTTCCCGTAGCCTGTAGCATCCTCGCTTTCCCGCCATGGCGGCCGACCTGAAAGCCGCCGAAGCGGCGCCGACCTCGCAGGACTTCCCCCTACATCTCAACATCGATAGAGGACTCACTGCCAAGTTCGAGGAACACGACTACGCCCTTCTCACAAACCCTAGCCTAGAGTTTAACGCCCGTTGCTTGGGACTCGGCCTCAAGTAAGTGTCTTCCGGGGATGTCGGCGTCGACCATTGGCTTCCATGCTGGTCGAGCATTCGCGGGGTTCCATGCGACCCGTCGTTTAGGTCGACGAGTTTAGGGTTCATGTCGATCACGTCGTTGACGTCGACGTACGGTATTAGGTCGGCGTCGGCGCTGGGTTGTGCCATATTCGTTCGGCTCCCTTCATTACACCGTCGCGAGGGTGGTGCACCGTCGTAGCCACAACCGCCGTCGTATCCACCGTCGTGCCGTGCACCCCGTCACTCACTTCTTCTTACGCATGGATGTGCGCAACGTCGGCCAACGAGCGATTGTGGTCGATAGGAGTCGGCCGGCTTCGGTCGGCGATGGGCCAGGGCGACCACACATGCTTTGCGACGGTTTTCGACGCCGACGTAGCGGTTATCCCACTGACATCGAGGTGAGCTGGTTCGGGGTCGCCCTGGTGTGTGCTGCAACCTGTGTCGGTGATCTGTTCTGAGCGACGTCGACGTGCATTGTCTGTGCAGCATCGCACCACTCCCAGGATCACATTGCAGCGTTGTTGTCATCCTGTGGCCCGGCGATTTGTTGAAGGTATCGGGGCAGACGATCAGGACATCGATCCAGCACGCTGACCCGCAGACAGTGAAGGAGTGGCACCGCGACGAGGCGATCCGCGTGCTGAAGTGAGCTCGACAGTGTAGTCGACGTCGCATGCAAATTCCCAGCGGAGCGTGCCCATGCTTACCGACCGTCTGTGCCATGCTTATGCAGGTTTTTCCGGGCGGCTCTTCTGGCCGAGCTGCGGCGCGATGGTAGGAAATGGGAGTGGGTGAAGCCGTCCGAAGAAGAGGTGCAGGAGAGGCTCGCCGACTGCGATCAACCCCTTCGAGATGTGAGTTCTGAACGATTTGCCGTCCTATGGTGTGACATCCTTGCGCGATGCGACTGCCGACCGCGGTGCTCATCCTTGCTCTCTGCACTATTGAAGAAAGTGCCCAACACCGTCCGGGACGGGGACGCGGGCTCCGGCCTGCTAGCGATGAGCGCGTTGCTCAGGGTTGTGAGGCGGATGGATATCCTGATTGGCGCCCTCCGTCGCAGTGTCACCAGCATGGACAAGGTCTACATTTCGGGGTTGAAGGGGCTGCGGACTGAGATGGTAGCCTACATCAAGAAGCAAGTAGCGCGCAAACGGGCGGGCCAGGTCGGAGTTGCTGCCGACTCCTGTGACGACGACGGCGAGGAGGTCCATTCGGCATCCCAAGCAGTAGGTGTCGCCCCCACCGTCGCTGATGCGCGTGGGACCTCGATCGGAAAGCCGGGAGGCGGCGTCGACGAGGATGATGCGGAGGCAGGAAAGGGGGTGACTGGGACCGAGGAGAAGCACCAGGACGAGGTTGTTCATGAGGATGATGATCAGGTCGAGGATCGTGAGGAGGATCGTGAGGAGGAGGGGGGCTCGGAGGATGATCGTGAGGAGGATCGTGAGGAGTCGAGTCGGAGTCGGAGTCGGAAGAGGAGGAGGAGCAGGAGAAGCAGGAGGAGGAGGAGCAGGAGAAGCAGGAGCAGGAGAAGCAGCTAGAGGGGGAGCAGGAGGAAGAGGTGGAGTGGGAGGAACTGGAGGTGGAGTACGTAACCGTTGGATCAGCGGAAACGGGTGGGAGATCGGCGGATGTTGAGAACGAGGAATGGGAGGGGAAGGGTGCGATGTCAGCGGAACTCGGAAAGGAGAAAGAGGATGTCGGCGTGAAGGCGGCTCACGGGGGGAGTGGGAAGTTCGTGGTCGGCGATGGGAAGGAGGTTGTGGACCTCTTTGCCGTTGGAAAAGGGGATAACGCCGCGGCCACAAAGCAGATGGGCGTGGAAGTGCCTACGGGGGGGGAGCGGTCTAGGAAGAAGAAGGCGACGAGCGGTCATCCCGGTTCCACCGCAGCTGGTCGGCAGGCGCGGCTGGACGTACTCGAGCAGCTGCGAGCGGAGAACATGCGATTGCGTGCAGACAATGCACGCCTGGAACGGCGGCTCGGTGAACAGACGGGACGCGTTGACAGCTTGGCGTCGGCGTTAGCTGGGGTACTCGACAGCTTGACCGCCCAGGTAGCCGACACCGACAGGAACTCGGCGAAGCGCCTCGAAGATGCCACGTCGACCATGACGACCACCATCACCGACAACCTCACCGACAACATGGACAGCGCAATTCAAGCTGGCAAGTCCTTTGCCGAACTAGCGACCAAGATTCTGCGGGATATTGACGACCCCAACGGAAGAATGGCGGTCGACCACGCGACCGCGCACAACGCATTGGCCGATCACGTGACGAATAAGGTGGATGAGGCGAGGAACGGTTTGGAGGAGGCATTCATTAAATACATCGCGGCCGCACACACCAACATTGCCGCCGCCGTCACTCCCCGCCTCGTCGTGCAGCAGCCGCCGCCGCCCATCGCCCCAACGCAGGCATTGCCAGAAGAGTTCATGAAGTCCTTCAAGGAGGACATGCTGAAGGCGGTGACGGAGGCCACGCATCAGTCGTTTCTCGCCTCCGGAATGAAGATAATGACAGAGGTGGTCGGCACGGTGGCGCCTGGTCGGCGTGGGTCGTCGCCGTCGGCAAACGACGCCGTCCAAACGCAACAAAAGGAGGCCCAGAAGCAGGGTCAGAAGAGGGGGGGCTGGGGCGGCGGGGGAGACGGGGACGACTCAACGAGCGTGAAGCGGAGCAAGGGAGCTGGTGGGTCGCGCGTCACCGGCGAAGGGAGCAAGGGAGCTGGTGGGTTGCGCGTCGCCGGCAACGGGAGCAAGGGAGTTGTTGAAGGCAGTTCGGCGAAGCAAACTAAGAGTGTGGTCGACATCTTGAAGAAGCACTGGGCTGATGTGAGATCACCCACCACGGGCCGTGGAGTGGGGAGTGCAGCTGGGGGTTCCGCCGACCAGAACGCTGCTAAAGACGCCGGGCCAAGTGCTCCGCCTTTGGTCGCTGAGAAGCCACCACGTCAGGGGAGCGGAGGGAAAGGGTTCAGCGACAAGGAGATCCCCGCCGCCAAAACGGCCCCAGGTGGTGCCGCCGGAACTGGTTTGACGCCGAATGCCGAGAAAGTGGAGGCGTCAGCGGTTCCTCAACAGCCTCCCGCGGGTGCACGCCCTCCGACCGGCCCGTTAGCCGACAAGGATGGCCGCGCGGGGAAAGGGGCGGCCGCTGCGAACGCGCTCAAGGACCGGCTCAGGCTCCTTACGGGCCACAGGGCTGTTCAACAGCCTCCCCCCCCTGTGGATGCACACCTTGCCGAAACAACAGCTCGCTCTACAGACCCCATCTTTGCCGTGCCATCTGCCAGTGTGCCACGTGTAGCGCCGGCCGTCGCCGCCCATACTTCTGCAGACCCAAAGTCCGCTTTGCTGCGCGCCCAGTTGGGCACACGAGGGTCGACTGCGCCAACTCAGCAGGCAGCTGGCTCTAGCGCGATGTCGACATCGAGGAATGTCGCAGCACCCACTCCTGTGGCGGCTGATGTCGAGAAAGCGGCGCAGCACCCGCGCTTGCCACAGGCGGCGGCCCTGTTGAGGAGGTCGCCCCCGACGCGGATATCGCCGCCATACAGGCCCACCTGGATGCGGCCAAACCCCGAACACTGGCCATATCGGGCACAACACATGTGGAGCACTCGGCGAGTCCCGCTGGTGGTTCAGCGGAGCGTAAGACGACCGCTGATGTTGTCGGCGAGGGAAAGGCGAAGCGGAAGGGGAAGGCGGGCTCACAGAGGAAAACACGGGACAAGTCGGAGGTGAAGACGGCGGAGACGGCGGATACAGGTGGAGGCGGCAAGGTGATGTCGGTGGAGAAAGGTAAAGCGGGGGAGAATCAGGAGAGGTCGGTCGGCGAGGGTACGTCGACGGGGAGAAAGGGGAAGGAGAATTCGGTCGGCCAGGGTACGTCGACGGGGACGAACGGGAAGGAGAAGTCGGTCGGCGAGGGTACGTTGACCGGGAGAAAGGGGAAGGAGAAGGCGGCGGAGAAGAGGAAGGAGAAGGAGGAGGAGGAGGAGGAGGAGGAGGATGATGAGGAGGAGCAGGAGGAGGAGGAGGGGAAGGACAAGGCGAAGGACAAGGAGAAAGGGAGGAGGGGTCATGGCATCCGCCACGACAGCTCGGGCGACGGGCTAGGGTGGGTCGGCGAGATTAAGGTGCATGGCATTAATCGCTACATCGGCAAGTCGGCGACAAGATGGAGCTCGCGTATGTGCACTCCATCGCGTACGTCGTCTACGATGGTTTCGTGAGCAAGGTGCTCATGGACCAGCTCACCGTCTTGGACACTGCCGAGTTGGAGAGATGGAGGAAGGTGTGGGAGGAGGTCAAGATCTTGCCGACAGGGATGTGGACGGTGATGTGGGCCCGGGGTGTGCTCCTTCCAAAGACACGGTAAGTCGGATACCCTTCGGCCCCAAGTTGAGAGTTAGATGATGTCGTTGTCACTTATGTTTGTTCTGTTTGATGTGCTTGCGTGACAGGCTCAATGATATTCTCGACAAGTATCAAGAGTACAAGAGCTCAGGCGATGCGCTCCACGACGCGCTCTTGCCGGCGAGTGGTTCCCCGTCGAGGGGGAGCTAGAGGAGAAGTCGGCGGCGATGATGTCGGCCATGATAGGTCGCGTGTCCATGTGCGTTGCGTATGGGAAGACCGCTGCGAGCGCGTCGAAGAAGGAGGGAGACGAGGAGGAGAAGACGGCGATGGCGGCATGGGCGTTAGCGACATCCGCATGCGCCGTCTGGTGCTTTGTCGAGAACGACGACGCCCAGGTGGTCGATGCTGTGGAAGAAGGGAAGGCGGCGGCGATTATAGCCGGTGCGAGCGAGAAGACCGCCGATGTATTTGAAACTGTCATGGCGGCGGTGCTGAACGCCGAGATCAACCGGGACCGCCCCCTGGGGGAGGTCGCCTTCAACATCGCGCCAGCGCTGCAGAGTCTCGCCTTGCAGAGGGTCTATCCGGGGGGTAATGCTGGAGTCGATGCCGAGGTGGTCGCTAGAGCGACGGTGGAGACCATGGCGTTCTGGGGAATGTGCCCCGTCGTCGCGCCGAAACTAAAAAAGAAGATGATCGCGGTGCCATGTGACGCGTAGATGAAGGCCGATGTTGACAACAGGGGGAGGAAGGGTCAGAGTGGGAAGCATGGGACCAAGGGGAAGAAGGGGAGGAAGGGCAAGGACAGCACGACAGCGTAGTCGGCATGCGGCTGGAGCGCTAGGTGGTCTGCTTGCTAGGATTCAGTGCTGTTTTGGTCGATGTCGGTTTTTTTTAATTTCCTCTCTCGAATCTCTTTGATGCTCGTGTAGTTTTTTTGTGTGCGTGGTTGTCGACTTTACGTAGGATGTGAAATGAACCATTCAACAATAAGATGAGCCGGAACGCTATGCGTCCATGCACCCCGGCCTCTTGGTACCCTTTTGTTTTGCGCGGCGTTTTGCACATATGTAGGTGTCCAACTGCATGTCGGTGTAGTATGCGGTTTTTCCGGGGTCGAGGCCGACGTCATGGGTGTACGGGTTGTGTGTGCGACGCCGCCGGGTTGCAATGTGAGAAGCACACAATCATGCTACATGTGTGTTTAAGTCGACAACTATAACAGTCAGAAAACTATGAAAGCTGCATCATCATCTACAACATGCAACATCCCACAGTAACATGTTGCCGAGAGCATTTACGCGGTCTTCTTGCGCTTGGTCGAAGTCTTGGTCGGAGGCAGCTGCCCAGCATCGTTCTCCTGGGCCATGTCGGCCAACGTCATCTTCAGCTGCGATCTTGTTAAGCGCAGCGATGACGGCTTCTGTGTCGGCCTCGCCGTCGCTCCAGCGAAGATGGCGCACTGCATCAATGACCTTCATCATGCGGCGCACCCTCTTCCCGAGTGCTCCCTGCGTCGCGCCTTTGAGGAGGGTGTGGCGGTCGACGAATCCCGGCTCTGCGAACCTGTCGCACAGACGACGGGTGTCCTCGGCGCTGGTGCAGGAGGTCCAGAGGCGCCACGCGTCCCTCACGGTCGTTGCATCCCGCCAAGGCTGCACCACGTTGAGCTCGTAACTAGCCTCTTCGACCGTCTGTGGGGGTTTCGGGGGTTTCTTGGCTCCGGCACCCGTACTTGCCGACTCCGTGGAGCCACCGTCGCTCGGCGACTGCTCGTTTGCAGCTGGCGGCGCCTCCGGCATCCTCCTTGCTTCTGAGACGCGGAGTGCCTCGGTGAGACGGGTTATCTCAGCCGTCAGCGTCGCGATGGTCGCGTCGCGCTTCTCGATATCCTCTTCGAGGTCAATCTTCTGGACCGCTGATCGTTCCCTCTCGTACTTCAGCGTCTCGGTGAGGGACATGACCGCGTGTTCGGCGTCCATGCGGACAGATATCTCCTGCAATGGTCGGCGAATGACGTTAAATGTGAGGGGTTGTTGCGTTCACTAGGCTGAGGGCGACGACGACTTGATCAATGGCTCACCTCAGGCTGGATGAGGGTCGGGTCTCGGCGCTTTTTGATTGTCTCGGTGTTGACCTTCTCGACCCTCTTCGCCCAGTGCTGGAAGAGGGGAATCCTGTAGAGCTTTGAACATTGGACGTACGGATGCGAAGGGGTGCGGACGAGTTTTACAGCGAGGTCTTCGGCGACGATGTGGCGCATGATCTGGAGGGTACGCCAGAAATGCACGGCGGCAATGTCGGCGTCGGACCCCTTTTTCGCGAGTTCTTCCGCCTGCAATTTGACAACAGAAGCGGGTGATTACAGTCGGCCGGTCGGACGATACTATACGTAACGTTGGCGTTGATTAAAATACCTTCTTAAGCAGGTCGTCAACGCCGAGGAAGATGTGCTCGGCGATGAGCTCCAGGAGTTCGTCGGAGGGTGGCACCCTGCTGCGACCCAAGAAGTAGTCTTGTTTGGCACCCGAATAGCCGGCCTTCTTCATCACCACGCCGACGGGAATGGCTGTGATGTAAGCTCGAGTCATCTTGTCGATCGCCCAGTGACCCAGCTCGGCTATCTCGTTCTTGTTGCAGTGGATCCAGTGCCCGATTTCGTCAACGTGCCTCGTTCTTTGCTCAGTCGGAAGCTTGTCGCGTATTCCCTTCAGCATCTTCGCCGCCCACCTCTTGTAGTGGTAAATCCAAGAGGTGTACAGCTTGAGCGTGCTCTTAGCCTCCAGGGTTTTCAGGTGGCACATTGTCTCCATCACGAGTACGTCGACGCACGCGTAGACCATATATTCCTCAACGAAGTCGGCCGCCTTCCATTGTTCTCGTGGCACCGCCGTGTTTAACAGATCCTCAAGTTCGTCCTCGTCCAACAGTTCCTCTATGAACGCACGTTCCCCCCTGAGCTTCTCTTCCAACGTGCGCGGACCTGCGCCACGTCGCGGCCGCGGGTCGTCTTCGTCGTCCTCCTCGCTGGACGATGACTCGTCGTCACATTCCTCATCCTGGTCGCCCACTCCGTCCGGCACCAACGACGGTCCGGCCTCCCGAGCATTCGTCGGTGCCGACGTTTTGCGTGGTTTCGTAAATTCCCCTAGGGACGCGGGCGGAATGTCGTTGGTGAACTCTCCTACCAGGATTTGTGCTAGGGCATCGAGATCGTAAAGCAGCGGCAGGGTCGACGAGGGGTTACTAGTCCGTGTACGCTCTACCGGTCGGCCGTCTCTCCCATGGCTCGCAGGGGTAGGAACATCTGTCATGTCGACGTCGGCCATGTGATTTTAGGCGTTTGGTCTACCTGGAACGTGGATCGTGGCAACCCAATGCAGGTGGTACTGAGTCCCGTTGGCGGTGTATATCCGATGCGCTTCGCGGGCGTCAAGCTCGAATTCCCTCGCGAGTGCCTCTAACTCGGCGGCAATCTCCGCCCATGCCAGTTGCGCTTTAATGTCGGCATCTACCGTGTCGGCGGCGGGTTGGTTGGAATGCGGCTGTGTCGCGCTAGGCTGTCCCCTGGCCATGCGACGGCGACCTAGGCACTGGTGATGGGATATCGGCGTGGTGATGTCGATATACTATAACCTGCAAAGTCGTGGTCGGCGGTATCCGACCAGTCGATTTCCTAAACGATTATCTGCGACATCTCGTATCAGTCACTCAGGCTACTGTGGCGACGCCGACGACGACGTCTGGTCGGCGGCCCGACTGTCTTGCACGCGTGGAGTGCGAAAGGGAGTAGAAAAAAACTAAGTGCCAGATAGCGGGAGGAACGAACACAGAATGGCAGGCAGAATGAGCGACCTTCACTGGGACCCCGGATGGGTATGGTCGTGAGCGACTCCGCACTTGCCGCGCTCCACGCAACTCCCTGTGCAGGACGCCGCTATGCATGTACCCTCGTGCGGCGGCACCGTGTCCGACGTGCCACCAGCCATGAATGGCTGTTTGCTGAAAGCGCTTCGCCCAGAAAGCGCTTTTCATGGCTGTTACACGCTGTGTCGTGCGTGCGCTACGTGGCGTGGTCCCAAACTTGGTGCATCGCTCCCAGAATACCGTGATGGAGACTTCCTGCGCAGTAGTTCGAGGGCGTAAGGCACTGACGCGTGGCACCCCGAAGATGCTCGTGTGGTCGACGCCGACCTTCCCGCCGCCTGAAGATCCATTGCACCTAGCCTGAGAAAGGGACGGTCGCGATGTCGCCTTAAGCATCTGGGAAACCGTGGGATGGAGGCTGCGTGGTACGCACCGACCTGGCCTCGGTTCGGCGCGAATATTTCCCACGCGGAGGTCGTCGGGTGTTCGTCAACCTCGAGGAGGGGCGTTGTCCTTTCCCTACCGCGAAATTGGGAGGCATTTTTCGTCCGCTGAGCTATATACTGCTAAAATAATCATCTACAATTTTCTTGATTTTAGCGAGTATAACGGGGCTGGTGTATTTCGATTGTGAAAACTGGTTCGTGCGCCGTTGGCTGAAAACTTTCTTTCCAGCGCTACACAAACCCAACCAAACCCGAGAAATCCTTTCCCCACTGTCAATGCTGCTCCCTTGGGAGTCCCGTTTCTTGAATTCAAGCACCTGCTCGACTCTGACCTACCCAAATACCTTCCCAACCCCGTCGCCATTCCCTATGTAACATTCGGACCCAACCCCCACCTGGTCTCGATACGTCGAACCAGCTGTGAGGGGGATTTGGGGGGAAATCTGATTGGTTGAGAATAGAGGGAGAAGCGAGACTTGCGGGGAATTGTGGATTGATTGGGAAACCAACCAATCGAAATTGCTGCTGAATTGAACCCACGTAATTGGTTCAAGTTGGATCAAACACAACCCACGTAAGTGCAACTCAGACTTAGGGCGTGTAACTTTTTCACATTTCATCGTCCGGACGGAGATCCCGTCCGAACATTTGTAGGGTAACTTATTTTGCAGCACCTCGGTAAGGGATTCGCGAGACGCCCTGCGACGTCGCCACCGTCCGGACCATGTCTGACACTTTTCTGTCAAATATTGGTCCGGACTACCCTGCTAACACCGTCCGAACGGCATATCGGACCGTCCGATTTTTCTGCGCTGTCATTGGCGCACGACGTGTTGAAAATCTTACCCAATACCACGCCGCCGATTTTTGGAGGCGAACCCTCACGACGCTTTACGATTGCAGTAATGCCTGTATCATTTCGTAACGAAATTCAAAATTTTCGGGTTTCCAAAAAGTTCCACATCTGTGGTCCAGACGGGCTGCCGTCCGGACCTGAGTCCCAAACGTCCGGACGGAGCTCTGTTCGGACGTTTTGGGGGCTCCGTCCGGACATTTGACGAAAACGGCAAAAATTACACGCCCTTAATTCGACCAATCAGAACGCAGCCCCAAAAGTGAGTCGACAACATTTCCGCCGCTCACTTCAAACACAACCAATAAACATCAAACACAGGTTTGTGATTGCTGTGCATTTCCTATCCTTGCTATCTAAAATATAATTGGTTCAGAACCTTGTTTGTTGCCACATGGGCAAGGCCCAAGGGAGTGCACCCCTCCTTGCCATGGGGAAGGTGGCTGCACCCCAAAGGGGTCTAGGGAAGGGGTCTGAGCCTTCTGGTTCATTCTTCACTTCCTATCCCCAACTAATCAATTGGGAAATAGGATTCTCTTCTCTCAACTCATCCTCCACAGTTTGTGACTGCATCTCCTAGCACTTTCCAGACTTAGTAATTTCCAAGAGCTGCTACTCTCTGTTTGTATTAGAACCTATTTTAAATGGGTAAATGCCCTTTCTGTTAGTGGATCCGTTACACCCTACCAACCGCGTTCTTAGAACCACCTTGCCGTCACCCCTCCCTCACTCCCCGCCGTCGCCTCTCCTCACCCCCCACCGTCGCCTCTCCCTCCCCCCCCGCCGTCGCTCTCTCTTCCTCCTCGTCGTCGCCTCTCCCTCCCTTCCCGCCGTCGCCTTTGGTGGGTTGCTGCACGACCACTCGTTGTTTTCTTAGGCACGGTTGTCTCAGGTGCGTTTCCTTCTCCCTCTCTCCGAAATGTCCTATTTTTTCACTTTCCTCGTAAGTTCTCAATGCCGATTGGTCTCCTCTTAGCATTGTGCCTCCATTTTAAGAAGGGGAGAGAGGGAGTGTGAGGGAATGTGTGCGCATGGGAGCGAGCACGCATGCGCATAGCGCGCTGGCGTCAAACGCGCTGGCGCCTAGCGCGCTGGCGCATAGCGTGCTGGTTCCTAGCGCGCTGGCGCCTAATGTGCAGGCGCCTATTGCGCTGGCACCTAACGCACTGGCGCTTGCTGCGCTGGTGCCTAACACGCTGGCGCCTAATGCGCTGGCGCCTAACGCGCTGGCGCCTAATGCGCTGGCGCCTAGCGCGCTTGCGCCTAATGCGCAGGCGCCTAGAGCGCTGGCGCCTAACGCACTAGCGCCTAGCGCGCTGGCGCTTGCTGCGCTGGCGCCTAACGCGCTGGCACCTAGCGCGCTAGCGCATAGCGTGCTGGCGCCAAACGCGCCGGTGCCTAATGCGCAGGCGCATAGCGTGCTGGCGCCTAACGAGCTGGCGCCAAACGCGCCATCGCCAAACGCGCCGGCGCCAAACGCGCCGGCGCCAAACGCGCCGGCGCCAAACGCGCCGGCGCCTAATGCGCAGGCGCATAGCGCGCTGGCGCCTAACGCACTGGCGCCTTACGCGCTGGCGCCTTACGCGCTAACGCATTACGCGCTGGCGCCTAACGCGCTGGCGCCTTACGTTTGGCGCCTTGCAGGTGCCCTCGCAGCGCGCTGGCACCTTGTAGCATGCTGGCGGCTTGTGCGCTGCTGCATTGTTTGCGGCGCAGCCTTGTTGCGGCAGCGCGCTGGTAAATTATTGCGCACGCTCATGCGTTGCTGCAGTGAGCTCACGCCTTGCTGCAGTGAGCTCACGCGTTGCTGCAGTGAGCTCACGCCTTGCTGCAGTGAGCTCATGCCTTGCTGCAGTGAGCTCACGCATTGCTGCAGTGAGCTCACGCGTTGCTGCAGTGAGCTCACGCCTTGCTACGGCAGCCCGCTTGCTCCTCTGCCGGTGGTGCCTTGCTGCAACTCTCTAGCGCCTTGTAGCATGGCGATGCCCAGCTCGTTGCACCAATGCACCTTTCTCGCTGGAGCCACCAACATGGTGTGCTTGACCCCAGGGGATCTATGCCTCAAACCACGTTTGTGAGTCGTCAAATTTGGTTTCCTTTTGTACTTATCATATTTCAACCCATACTTGCTTTTCAAGTTCTATTTCACAATCAAGTGCATGCTCGTCATTGAATTTCACTCCATTTTCCGACTACAATTCATTTTCTACTAGACCTGTTTGTTTTGCAATGTGTGCGAGACGCGTTGTGGGGAGCAGGGAGGGGAATTCGAGAGAGAAGACAATGTGGAAAAGGGTGGAAGGAGATTTTGATGGTGGAGGGAGAGGAAGGCCGGTGGGAAGGGGGAGGAAGGGGGGACAAGGTTGCAGTGATTGATACATGATTGATACATAAAAGGATTGATGCAACTCTTTGTTATGCTTGTCTGCTCTCAATCCTATTTGTGTATGTATGTGTGTGCGGTGCGGGTGTGTTTGTGCGGGTGTGTGTTCATGTCTTCTTGTTGTGTTTGTTTCACTGTGGGGTTGCATGTTGATGCGTTTGGTTGGATGGGTGGTACCTTTTTTACGTGCGTTTGCAGTCATGTTTGTGGGATGTGTGTCTCAAAGTGTGGTGTTAGTATGTGTCATATATGCAATTAGAGGTTGTTAATCGTCTTTGGGGCAGCGGATTTTCGCTGTTTCAACGACCCCATCAACCTCTGTTGTTACATGATGCATTTTAACATTCATTTCGAAGCATCCACCCACATTTCATACTTTGTTGTTCATCTGTACAATTGCATTCGTTCATGTTGAAGCCAGGATATTATGCTCGGCCGTACCATCCGCCGTATTAATCGACGAGCTGGGACGGTCGAACAAGTTCATGGTTTCAACATGATACGCACGTGCATAATATTTGGTTTCACATTTATGGATCTCATTCAAGAGTGGTTTTTATTCACTATTTGAGGCATCTAATTGAACACAGTTTTAGAAAGTTCAAACAGGTGCTCCAAAGAGTGTATGGAAAATCACTCTTGATATGATATCCCCAAAATGTGAAACCAAATATATAGGGTTGCTACGCAACCCAAAAATTGGCTGCAGTGACGCACGCGACGCAGAAGTCAGGTGTAGCCTTGGGAGCGGTGAAACTTGTCACGGAAAGCGAACCAATCAGGAACCCAGGCCATTTTGGGGAGATTATTTCAAACGTTTTGAACATTTTGAAATTGTGTTTAAACGGATGCCTCAAATATTGAATAAGAAGCACACTTACCGTACATGAGATATCTGTTACGAATAGTAAAATGTGAAAAGGCACTGTGCACTCCTGACAGTAGCAACCTATCAAACCATATATGTGCTAGTTGTGTGTAGGCTATAGTGGGGTAGCCCGTATGGGGTACAACCCAATATTAGGGTTAGTACTTGTACCCACAATTCATTCAATGCAACCATTCTTGCTTGCTATCTTGACATGGTTTCCGAGCAGTAGGTCCATAGGACCGTTTTTTTTTTCCGGGCCCACCATACTTAGCGACCGACTGCGGTTACCGCGTTACCCCACTACCCTGTGTCGCGCTGCCCCGCGCACGCCCTGCCCTGCCCCGCGTCGCGCTGCTCAGCGCACGCTCTGCCTTGCCCCGCGTCGCGCTGCCTGCGCATGCCCTGCCCTGCCCTGCCTCCCGTCACCCTGCCCTGCGCCAGCGCCCTGCCCTGCGCGAGCGCCCTGCCCTACGCCAGCACCCTGCCCTGCGCCGGCGCCCTGCCCTGCGCCAGCGCCCTGCCCTGCACCGGCGCCCTGCCCTGTGCTAGCGCCCTGCCCTGCGCCAGCGCCCTGCCCTGCGCCAGCACCCTGCCCCGTGCCAGCGCCCTGCCCTGCGCCAGCGCCCTGCCCTGTGCCAGCGCCCTGCCCTGCGCCTGCGCCCTGCCCTACGCCCGCGCTGCTGCCCTGCGCGTCGCGCCCTACGGCAGCCCGCGAGTCGCGCGCTGCTGCCCCACGCGTCGCGCCCTACGGCAGCCAGCGAGTCGCGCGCTGCTGCCCCGCGCGTCGCGCTTTGCTGCAGCCCATGCGTCGCGCCCTGTCGCAGCCCGCGCGTCGCGCCCTGCTGCAGCACGCGCGTCGCGCCCTGCTGCCCCGCACAGCGCGCGCCCTGCTGCCCGCGCCGCCCAGGCCGAGCCGAGCCGCCCTACCCGACCCGATCCGCCCTGCTGCTCGTGCTACTGCTGCTGCTGGTGGAGGTGCTGCTAGGAGTGCTGGAGGTGATGCAGCCTAGCTTGACCGAGCCGCTCTGCTGCTCTTACTGCTGCTGCTACTCCTCGTGCTACTGCCTTCACTCTGTACTGCCCTAGAGGTCGCGCTCCTCCTAGCTTGCCCGCCATGACTTCACTCTGTAGTAGCGGTGGGAGTGGTGACAGCGGTGGTGGCAGCATTGGGAGTGGTGGCGGTCGTAGTAGCAGTCATTGTGGCGCTGTTTGGTGCGGAGTTTCTGGCGGAGGCCAGATGCAGCTACGACGGCGTCCGACCCTTACGTCCCAGCAGCTTCGTGAGTGGCTTTACCAGCGTGGGACGTCTCCGAGTCCTGGTCGCTGCCCGTACGTCATTCACACAGGTCGTCGAGCTGGTCAGACCTGTGGGACACCTGGTCACGCACAGTCCCGCTGCTTCGCCTATTTGAGTGACGCATGGCACGCAGAGTTTGGCGACGAGGCTGAGATTCCCCACTGGCTTGAGCTGCTTAGGTCGGGCGTTGATGTCTTTGCTTTAGATTATGACGCCATCCTTACTGCTATGTATGCTTTGCCTGGTGGTGCTGAGGGTGACTGTTACCTGTGTGTGCAGTACGACCTCGGTATAGAGGTTGTTGCTCTAGGTGCTAGTGAGGCTGCTGCCTTAGGTGCTAGCGAGTCTGCTCTCTCAGGTACTGCGCCTGCTGAGGCCTTGCACACCTTCACGCTTGACTCAGGTGTTTCCCGCTGTTTCTTTCGCGACAGTACTGCACTCACGCCACTCCCTGCACCTTTTGCAGTGTCTGTGGCTGACCCCTCAGGGGGCCCAGTTCTTGCACGGTCCACCACTGTGCTTCCGTGCCCGGCGGTTCCGTCTGGCTCACTGTCAGGTCTTCACCTCCCCTAATTCTTTACAAACCTGGTGAGCAACGCAGTCCTCCAGGATGCATGGGTTGATACGTTTACCCCTGGAGGACAGCGTGTGGCGATCTGTACGTGCTCCCGGACTGGCCGTCACCTGGCCACGTTCACCCGTCGGCCAGGGTCGAGTCTTTACACACTGACTACTGCGTCCCCTCAGGTAGCTGCTACTGGTCAGGTGTCTGCGTCAGGTCAGGTAGCCTCCCCTTGTTCGTGTCGCTCCCTGTCGCACCAGACTCTTCTCTGGCACCACCGCCCGGGTCACCCCTCCTTGCCACGTCTCCGTGGCATGCACCGTCGCCTCCTAGTGTCTGGTCTTCCCAGGTCTCTCCCTCCCCTCCCTCCCTCCCCTGCGCCGCCCTGCCTTCCTTGTGTCGAGGGGCGGCAGCGCGCCGCTCCTCACTCCTCCTCGTTTACCCCGACAGAGGCTCGTCTGCAGACCCTCCACCTGGACGTGTGGGGCCCAGCCCGCGTTTGTGGACAGGGCGGTGAGCGGTACTTTCTGCTGGTTGTCGACGACTACTCGCGTTACACCACGGTCTTCCCCTTGCGCACCAAGGGTGAGGTCCCTGCTGTCCTGATCCCTTGGATCCGAGCAGTTCGTCTTCAGCTCCGCCGGAGGTTCCGCCAGGACCTTCGTGTCCTGCGTCTGCACTCTGACAGAGGTGGTGAGTTCACCTCCGACCTCTTGCGGGCCTTCTGTCAGGGGGAGGGCATCGAGCAGTCGTTCACGCTTCCGGGCTCACCGCAGCAAAATGGGGTTGCTAAGCGCCGCATTGGCTTGGTCGTAGAGATCGCGCGTACCTCCTTGATCCATGCAGCGAGTCCCCATTTTCTGTGGCCGTTTGCGGTCCGGTACGCCGCGCAGCAGCTCAACCTCTGGCCCCGTGTCTCCTTGCCGGAGACCTCGCCCGCGTTGGACGGGAGAGGTTGGCGATGCGTCGCGTTTCTGAGTCTGGGGTGCTCGTGCCCTTGTCCGCGATACGTCCGCGGACAAGCTCTCCTCCCGCACCATTCCCTGTGTATTCCTTGGCTTTGTCCGTGACGCGCCTGGCTGGCAGTTTTACCACCCCACCTCGCGTCGTGTCTTCCCCTCTCAGAACGCCACCTTTGACGAGTCGGTTCCTTTCTACCGTCTCCCCCTACCACACTGATCCCCTCCCTCCCCCGCTGCTTTTCCTCGCTCCAGGTCCCCCTCCGGTAGACCCCCTCCCCCCTCAGGGTCCTGCTCCTTCAGGTGTGTCTCAGGTAGACCCACTCCCCTTGGCTGAGCCTGTAAAGGTCACTAGTGATTCAGGTGCTGCTCGAGGTACTGCGTCTGGGGGTGCTGAGCCTGTGCGTGAGGTGCTGGGGGGTGCGGAGCCTGGGGGTGCTGAGCTTGAGCGTGTGGAGCATGGGGGTGCTGAGCCTACGAGTGCGGAGCCTGGGGGTGCTGAGCCGGAGGGTGCCGGGTCTGGGGGTGCTGAGTCTAGGGGTCTCTTTTCACGACGTGGGCCTCTCTCACCACAGCAGCTACGAGAGTGGCTTGCGTGGCGTACCCGCCTGAGGAGTCGTGCTGCTGGAGCTGGTGGTCCTGCTGCTGGAGGTACTGCAGCTCGAGGTGCTGCGATTGGAGCTGCTGGAGCTGCTCGTCGTGGAGGCGCTGGGAGTGCTGGTGTTTCTGGTTCTGGAGGTGCTCGTACTGGAGGTACTGGAGCTGCCAGGACGGGTGGTGCTTGTTATGTGATGCTATCACTTGCATTCACGTTTGGCTGCCTCCCATCACATGTTCGTGCGTTGCATGCGTGGTGTGAGCGTGTGCAAGAATTTGTGTTTGATGTGGTTTGGTTTTTCTGAGTGTGTGTGAATGTTATTTGGCTTGAGCAGATATCTGAAGTGACTCCTCTGCTCAAGAGCTTTCCGACGAACCAAGTATCGCTTCAATCGGAGCACGAACAAGA